AGAACCAGGCCAGGCCAGGACGTGGACCCATCTGAGGGTAAGGCAGAGGTGGCCAGGCGGTGGGGGGCCCCCCTCCATGAAGGGCTCACAGTGTGGGTTCTCGGGGGCCCCTGGGAATCGTGGCCGGTCTGAAGGGCTACAGTTTCAGCAGGGGTTGGAGTGTGGTGTGGCGTGGCCGGGCACACTGGGGGCTGGGATGTGTCTTGCACGGTTCCCCTATTTATAACAAGTGATTCAGCCCTCAGTTACTCACCCCTTCCTGGGCCTGCCCCTTCCCCCAGCCCTGGGTGGGCAGCGGGGGGGGGGGGGCCCCCCCACTCGCCAGCGCCCTCCCTCCCTGCTCCTGGGGGCCAGCCTCCGAGGGCTGCCCTCGGGCCGGCCGTCACGGGGGCTGCGACGCGGTCAGGCGAGGGGCGGGGGGCCGGTGGTCAGGCAGCCCTTGGCTGGGCAGCCCAGGTTGGCGGCTGGCTCGGGGCCGGCCCCGGGAGCCTCTGCGGAGAGTCTGGGCCCATTAGGCAAAGCGTTAGTGACAGGCTGGGCGGGCGGCGGCGGGCAGGGCGGGGCCTGCAGCCCGTGGTATTTTCCGATCCCAGCTGCTCCTGAGAGGGTGGAAAGTATTTGGGGACCAGGCTTGGGGGCGGTGGTGGTGGCGCCCCCGGCGGAAGCTGCCCCTGATTCATTCTTGGAGCATGGGGCTGGGGGGGCAACTTGCGTGCCTGTGTCTGTCTCATGCCTCCACGCCCTGTCTGCAGGGCAGACTCGGGCCCCATCCCTGCATCCCCACATCGCGAGGCCGGGCCCTGCACCCCCTCCCCCATGCTGCCACCAGGAGCCTGGGCCCTGCCTGGACCCTGTCGCCCCTGAGCCTGAGAGGCACGCTGCCCGTCCTGGGGCCGGCGCCCGGGCACCTGCATGGCAGTGCCCCGTCCCGCGAGACCCAGGCCCTTTGTGCCTGTGGGGGACGGGGAGTGGCCTTGGCCCCAGCCCGGGGCTCTGTGCAGGGGAAACCCCACAGGAAACGGTCCTGGCCAAATGGCCGCCCTTCCCGTTCTCGTCCCTGGGACACGAATGTGCTGTCTCACTTCCGGAGGCGGCCCAGGGAGGCTGGCTGCCCTGCGGGCTGTGGCTGCTCCCGGTGGTGCCCCCAGACCCCGAGGGGCTGGGGCTGGGCTGGGGCCTGGTGGGAAAGAAGGGGTGTGTGTGTGTGTGTGTGTGTGTGTGTGTGTGTCTGTGTGCGTGAGGGATGGGGGACAGGGCAGGACATCTCTCTCCACCTGTCTACCGGTGTGGGCGCCACCAGATCCGGGCACTGGGGCCCTACCAGTGTGTGGTGTCCTCACATCCACCATCCTTCCTGTTTCTGCCTGGTCCATGATGACAGTGTGGCCCTGTCCTAATTACACGTATCACTCATGGGATCCTTACCATGACATTACTCCTGCTTTGCCGATGGGAAGCGGAGGCCCAGAGAGGTTGCATGACTTGCCCAGAGTCACCTAGCCAGGAAGCTGCAGAGCCGGGGTTCAAATCCCACTGAACTGGCTCCAGAGTTGGGATCTCCTAGCCACAGGGCTGTGCATAAGGGAGACCTCTGTTTCCTGAACACAGGGCTGGCTTCCTGGGCGGTTCACAGGGCTTTCCTGCTCAGAAGGACCTGCAGCTTGGTTGAATGTTCCGCTGTCAATGTCTTGAAATTTTTTTTTTTTTTTTTTTTTTTGCTGAGGAAGATTCACCCTGAGCTAACATCCATTGCCAATCTTCCTCCTTTTTTCTGCTTGAGGAAGATTAGCCCTGAGCTACAATGTAGTGCCAGTCTTCCTCTATTCTGTATGTGGGACCACTGCAGTGTGGCTGATGAGTGGAGTAGGTCCGCGCCTGGGATCCGGCCCGCAAACCCTGGCCGCCGGAGTGGGGTGCGTGGAACTTTGACCACTTGGCCCCGGGGCTAGCCTGTGTCTTGAAATTCTTAATTTGTGAACTAGGGGCCCTGCATTTTCATTCTGCACCCAGCTCCACAAATCCTGCAGGCGGTCCCAGCACAGCGTGCTTGCTGAGTAGCACACACCCTGTTGGTCAGTCCTCACTGTGCTGCGAGGCCTGGAGCTCCATTTGACAGATGGGGAAACTGAGGCTTGGAGGGCATTTGGGAAACTGCCAAGCAGGGATCCACATCCTGAGCCTGGGTCCGGCGCTCTGGGGGCATCATGCTGGGGGAAGAGCTGGGCGCCGCTGCCGGCATCCGCCCTGTTGGGGTGCGGGCTGAGTCCCGGCCGCCGCTGAGGAGCCGGGCCACAGGGGGAGGGTGTGTGTGTGTGTGTGTGTGTGTGTGTGTGTTGGGGGGGGCCCTGTTGGTGGTTTCCTCCTGCCCTTCAGGCTTCTAGGAAGTGGCGCCAGCTGGAGTGAGATCACTTCCTCACCCGCCTGCCCGCCACCCGTCGGCTTCCTCTCCTTATGGCCCCATTTAGCTGCCCAGGGCTCCGTAACGGGGGGGCGGGGGGGGGCGGGAAAGGCGGCCCTGGCTCTGGGAGTTCCTGCAGCCTCCTTGGCTGAAAGGGACCCTCGGGGCACCCATGCCTCTCCGCGCCTGGGAGGCAGGGTGCGGCCGGGGCGGGGGCATCCAGCCTGGTGTTCCCGCTCTCCCTCCAGCTGCGGCTGCACATGCGGAGAGGGCTTCCCGGCAAACCTCCGAGGGGGGCGTCAGGCGGGACCTGGAGGACCGACGTCCTCAAATCTCATTGCCTCCTTTGCTCTCTCTCTCCCCCCAGGTGCCAGCCGCTGGCCCCACCCAGTGCCCCCACCCCTCTGCCACGGCCGGCTGGGGTTCCTGGGGATGGGATTTGCTGCTTGTCACAAATCACATTGCCAGGGATTTCCAACCGACCCTGTGCCCTGCCTCTGGGGCCGCCGCCACCACCACCACCATCACCACCACCACCACCGCCACCGAGGACGCTGCCCGGGGATGGGGATGGGCTGGCAGAGAGGCCCCCACCACCTGCGTCTGGCCTGGGGAGCAGGGCTTAGCTGCTTGTGAGCAGGGTCCACACCGAGTCATGTTCACAGTGGCTAAGTTCCGCCCCCCGGCTCCTGCCTCCTCGGCCCTCCGCCCTGCCTCGCGCCGCGCCACCGCTGCCCCGTGCCTCCCCGGGCTCTGCCTCCCGTGCCTACTGAGCTGAAACACAGTTGGTTTGTGCAGACTGGCTCAGTTCAGCAGGAACAGGAGTCAAGCCCCCTTGGAGCCTGCAGCCCCTCGCCCGCCTTGGGTGGGCTGATGCCTGGGCAAGGAGACGAGGACCTGGACCCAGGCCTGTGTCTGGAGGAGGGACTTGGGGGGGCATGGGGCCCAGGATGGGGTGGGTGGACCCAGCTGTCTGCTGCAGGCCTCCTCCCCCACCTCCGCACTTGGGGCCCCCCCCCCCCCAGTCCAACCTATGGCTGGGCTGGGCTCCCAGGGAGGACGGACAGGTGGGTGGGTGGCCCTTCCATGAAAAAGGGAAGCCAGCTGTGTCCCCGCCTGGACGACCCTCTGGGCCTGGAGCCTCGCCCCTCCTCTCCCAGGCCTGGTGGGGGCACGCTCCAGGCCTGCCCCTTCCCAGCAGCCAGTTACTCAACAGGAAGCTGCCCGGGCCCCCAGACCGTTAAATGCCAACTCTGGGCTTCCGGAACCAGGCTGGCCTGACCTGAGCAGGCTTGGCCCTTCTCCCCGAGTCCTGCAGCTGCCTAACTTGGGGGAGGAGCTGTGACCCCCTTCTGGCACTCGGGTGGGGAACAGGTCCCTGTGGGCCCAGAAAGGACACAGGAGGCCTGTGCAGCCCTCAGGCCGGCCCAGGGCACAGCAGGAACGTTGAGGCTCTGCCCGCTGTCAGATGGAGTGGGCCTGGGGATGCAGAGTGAAGCCCCCGGTGGTCGGGCTGCCCCGCGTACCCCTCCGGGGCAGAGTCTGTGCTGCGTGTACCACCTGCTGTCCAGTTAAATAAGAGCTGCCTCGCCTCCTTCCTGAAGGTCTGGTGGTTTGTGATTCCCTCGTGCCTCCCATCCCCGAGTTCCAGCTTTTTTCCAGGAGGGTCAACCAGCCTGGCTTTATGGTCCTGGCAGCCGGGACTCCTGACCTCACGGATCCCCATCCCCACCCCATCCCACCTGTTCCCAGGAAGGCCCCACCTGTTCTCTGGAAGGCGGCAATTGAGTCACGTGGGTGGAGAGGGTGGAAAGGTGACCTTGAGGGGTACGCTGGAGTTGGGCAGCGACCCCGAAGGAAACCCCGGGCTGGAGGGACTGACTCTCGGGCCGATGAGGTGACAGGGAGAGGGACCTAGACGCAGTCACAATGGGGACGCTCTGTGCCTGGGGCGAGGAGGTTGGAGCCCAGTCCGAGGTGGGGGTGGGTGACACTGAGGGAAACGCGGGGCATTCGGAGGTGACTGGGACCTGAGCTGGTGACACTTGGGGGTGACTGAGACGCAAGGGACAGCTCGGGCTCGGAGTGGGATCTGGGGTGCCTCGGAACGGTCGGTGCGGGCAGGGAACTCGGGCTTGCGGTGCGTGTGAACGGAGACATTCGGGTGTGACTCGGCCCCGAGTGGCGCCCCAGGTCCGGGGACGACGACACGCGCGGGCGGCGGGGACCACAGGGGCCGGGGCCACGGCTGCCCCTCCCCTGGGCCTCCAGGCGGCGCTCGGGCGCGCGGGGCCGCCCGTACATACATGCGGGGCCGCGCGGGGCGGGGCCACCTCCTATTGGCCCTCTCGACCGGAGGGCGGTGCCGCGAGCCAATCGCCGAGCCCAGCGCCGCCGGAGCCCCGCCCCGGCTGCGCGCGCCGCCTGGCGGCCGGCCCCGCCCCCGGGCGCCTGTCCTCGCCTGCCCCGGGCTGCCGGGGCGCTTGCGGCCCGGGGCGGAGGCGGCCGCGCTCCATCCGGGGACTGGGAGGCTCGTCAGGGCTCACGAGCCCAGACGGGGAAGCCCCGCCCGCTCGCCGGCGAGACGCAGCCGGGGGCCCCGCCCGCTGTCAGCCGCACTCGGGCCACCGGGTGCAGCCGGCACGCGCTTGCCGGGCACCCCGCGCTGCAGGCTGCGCCCGGGGACGGGGAGGCGGGAGCTCCTCGATGGCGGGGAGAGAGGGCCCTGGGGGTAGGGGGGCGCGGCGAGGAGACCCTCACTCCCAAAATAAAAGCAAAAAGAAAACGCTGTGTTCAATCTTTAAAAAAAAAAAAAGGAAAATACAATATATGGTTCAATAAATAGAAACGAGTTACAAAATGATGTGATCCTTTGTCCTTAATTACAAGAGGAGACGAGACAGAGGGGAGCGGCTGGGAGACACAAACAGAAAGGCAGGCCGAATGGAGGGAGATACAGGGAGGGGGAGAGATGGAGGCGGCAGGGAGGCAGGAGAGGGCCAGGGCCAGAAGCCCAGACCCGGTTGGGGCTGGGGCCCCTGGCTGGCCTGTGCTTGTCTCCTAACACCAGCTTTGGAGGACAGTGTGAGCCTGGCTCGGTTCCTGAGTTGTATGTCCAGTGACTGACAGGTAAGGGGAGGGGCAGCAGTGACCCCCAGCCCGCCCTGGGACCCTGGCACCTATAGGAATGGGAGTCCTGGCCGGATGGGGTGAGGTATGTGGCTGAGGCCTGAGGCCTCTTCAAATCCTTCGGTGGGGGTGGGCCATTGGTCCAGCTGGGCAGCCTGGAGGGGGCGCAGGGCTGTGGAATGGGGCTCCTGAGGCAGAGAGAGTACAAAAGGAGATCGAAACGCCCTAACACAAGCCCCCTGGCCACCCTGGGCGGGGTGCAGGGAGGGTGTGCTGCACTGAGCTGGAGAGCCCATTGCTGGAAGTCCTGCCTCCCAGCCCCGGCCATGGCCCAGCGCAGCCCAAGGCAGACCTACAACTCTGGGGAGGTGGTGCTTGCCTATTGCTTTTGGGGTGCCCGAGGTGGGGTCATACCAGCTGCCCAAGCTCACACCCTCTTCCAGGCCTCTGGGTGGTGGTATGGCTTCTGATCCTCGAGTCTCGAACACTTGCTTGCACACTGCTAGGCACACACGTGGCAGGACCCCTACCTCCTACCTCCTTCCAGGCTTGGGGGGCGGGCAGGCAAGACCCCCTAGCTCCGGCTGGGCTCCGTCCCTGACTTAATACTGAAATGCCCGTGGGCCCCCAGTGTTGAGGCCCCCGATGGGGAGCGGGTGCTGCGGGGCGAGGCCACCGCCTGCCTGCGGTCCTCAGCCGAAACGCTCCCGCACCAAAAGCATCAGCTTCTTCTTGCCCTTGTAGGTCTGCTTCAGGGTCTCCAAGAACTGCGCGAACTGGAGGTGCCCATCGGGCGCCAGCAGGAAGGTCTCTCGCGCCTTGCCCAGGAACTCGATGAAGTCGCCGTAGTGCCGCGGGCTGATGTGCGTGAGGCGGGAGTGGCTGGTAGTGATGTAGGCTGCCACCGCAGCGTCCAGGAGCTGGCAGAGTGGCGCCCGGTCGGTGCCCAGTGGCTTGGCAGCCCGGCGGGCCCCCAGGGGCCCCAGGCCGGGTGCTGAGAGAGTCCAGCGGCGCAGTATGTCAGAGAGCATGGGGGCGCAGTGGACGCTGCGGATGATGAGGGGGACGATGGCCGAGAGCTCGTGCCGGCCCAGCGAGTGGCTGAGTGAGCAGGCCCAGAGCACGTCGTTGACGGCCGGGTGGCTGTCCTGGTTGAAGGCAATGCTGAGCTGCGCCAGGGCCAGCGTGGCCAGCTTGTAGGCCCGCAGCGGCAGGCCGCGGTGCTCCATGTAGCGGGCTACGGTGAAGAGGTGGGCGTGGCCCAGGCCACCAGCCGCAGCGTCCAGCACGATCTGGTAGGCCGCCTCAAAGGCTGCATGGTTCTTCTCGCACAGGGTGAGGGCGGGCAGGGCACAGTTCTGAGGGTCTTTCATGGCACACTGCAAGGCCAGGGTGCGGGCGCAGGCCCACAGCTCCTCCCGCCGGGCCGTGTCCAGCTGCAGCCGCAACAGTGTGGCATGAGTGGTGCCTGTCACGGCCACGATGGTGGCCGCCTCCACTGGGGTGAACAAGGAGTACCAATTCTGCATGATGTTCATCAGGGCTTCTGGGCCTGGGGGAGGTCAGAGGGCGAAACCCGTCAGGAGGAGGGGCAGGGAAGTGGTCGTGGGCGCAGGGGTTGACCCCAGCACTGCCATCCCCACCAGCCAGGACTGGACATGCACCCCCTCCCCCTCCACCCAAGATGGACAGAAACTGCACTTTACCTCTCCAAAGAAGCAGGGGCCGCCGGATTGGGTGGGAACATGTATGTGGGGCCAAGCCGTGGAGCCACTGTCCCTTACCCAAGCCACATTAGCCTGGCCAGCCCCCCGCCCGACATCCCCTTCGGCCTGGCCCTGAGCAGTGGCTGGAGTCAGACAAAAGTTGGCTTCTCTCTCATGCCTGCCCGGCTCCCCTGTGACACCTGGAGAAGCAGAACAGGGATGCTCCCCATGGGGACTCTCACCGATCTCTGTGGCACAGCTGACCAGCCAGCGCACCATCTCCCTCCGCCGCCACGTCATGGTGTTCAGGGTCATCCGCATCACCTGCAGGGTGGAAGGCGGAGAGAAGGGTCACCCAAAACCTTGGGCTGGTCTCAGGGGGGTCAGGGATCCAGAGGGGTCCGGGAAGACTTGGGAGTTAGGGACTGAACCAAGGAGCCACATGATCTGGGCGAGCGGCCTCAGCCTCCTCACCTGTAAGGTGGGGAGAACAACCGTGTCTACCACCCGGGGCTGTCAAGAAGGAAATGATGTCGGCACAGCTCTGTGCACAGTGTCTGCTGCTCTGAGGAGCCCAGCTGGTGCCAGCCATTACTATTACTGCCACTATTGCTGTTATCTGAGGCCCCAGGGCTTCCACTCTGGACAAGCCCACCTGTCCCTTCTCTCCAGAAAGTTCCAAGCTTCATGTCTCCCTCTGTAGCCCCAAAGCACCTGACCCACAGGCCCTACTTCTCTTCAGGTCCCACCCCCACTAAGCACCCTCCTTGCTGGCCCTCCCCCCAGGCCCTATCCCCAGGTCCTGTCTGATGGACCTGCCTTCTGGAAGCTTCTAAGGAGCGCGTCTCTCTAAAGCTCCACTCCTATCTTGCCCTCCACATCCTCCCCGCAGCGGCTCCATCCCCTACAGGAGGTTGTTTGGGGTCAGTTCGGCCTCCTTCAGGTCCCTTGCTTGCCAGTTCTACTGAGATGGGCCCACCCCATCCTGGAAGCCTGCTCCAAGCTGTTCCTTATTCTCGTTTTACTTCCGTCCCTGAGGCCCGGCCCCCCGGGCTCCATGCCTGTCTATCCCCTCAGGCCCCGCCCCCAAGAAAGCTCCTTATTGGCAGGCTGTGCCCCTCAGCTTCAGCCCCGCCCACCCGTGGTCCTTAAGCATAAGGACACCAGCCCCCACGCCAGCACCTCTAGGCTGTGTTCCCTGTTGTGGCCCCACTTACCTGCAGGAGCCGTGAGCCCCCTCCTCGGCCTCAGCCACACCCCCAGAAGTGGATTCTCACCTTCTGACTCTGCCACTGAGTCCCGCATTCATAGACCCATCCCTACTAGGGACTCCATTCCTTCATTCCCAGGACGCTCCGTTAGAGGGGTGGCCCCCTGTGGCCCCACCCCCAGAGGTGGTGGCTCACACAGGCCCCGCCCTCAGGCGGCAGTCTCCTCCCCCCTCCCCCCCGGCGGCCGGCACCTGCAGGCCCAGCTCGAGCGCGATGCCCAGCAGGGTGGTGTCCGGTGGTGCGCCGGCTGGGGTGGCCGTCTTGCAGGCGTCTTGCGCCAGCTTGAAGAGCAGGGCCGGTGAGTGAATGTTCTGCCGGATGGAGCCCAGTACCGCGTGCAGCCACTTGGGGTCTCCTGGGGTGGGGGCGGGGATAGAGGCCACTGTTGGGACACTGGGCACCAGCCCCTGTCGCTGGCTGACCTGTTCCTGCAGATTCTGCCACACAGGTGTACGTGTGTGAGCGTGGAGGGAACACCTGGCGATGGTTCCATGAAGATCCAGCCCGCTCTCAGCACTGCCCCTGCCCCTTCTCTCTGTCCTCCTTCCAGTGGGAGGAAGCCACCTAGGGAGCCACTGGACCCCTAATTGTCACAGGCATCGATTCTGGACCCAAAATGCCACAGTTCAAATCCCTGGCCTGCCACTCACTAGCTGTGTGACCCTGAGCAAGTCACTTCACCTCTCTGTGCCTTGGCTGTCCTATCTGTAAAACAGCTTGTACTAAGGCCCTGGTACCTGCCTCACAGGGCCGTGGTGAGCCCATTCTTGCAAAGGCCTTAAATGGCAAGAGCTCCACAAATGTGAGCTTTTGTTACCACGATTATCACTGGCCCAGATCTGACAATTCTGTCACTCTGCTCAGCCACACAGGCCTCCTCTCTGTCCCTCAAATATACCAGGCACAGTCCAGCCTCAGGACCTTTGCACTGGCTGTTCCCTCTGCCTGGAATGCTCTTCCCAGATGCTATAGACTGAACTGTGTCCCCAAATTTGCCCATTGAAGCCCTAACCCTGGCATATGGCGTTACGAGGCAGGGCCTTTGGGAGTGATGGGGTGAGGTGTGGTCATGGGTGGGCCCGTGATGGGATGGGCACCCTGTGAGAAGAGGAGACCAGAGCACCCTCTCGGCCGTGTGAGGCCACAGTGAGGAGGCAGCCGTCCACAGCCGGGAGGAGCCCTCACCAGGAAGCGACCCTGCGGGCACCTGGTCCTGGACTCCAGCCTCCAGGACCGAGAGAAATGAGTGTCTGGGATCTCAACCGCCCGCCTGGGGTTATGTTACAGCAGCCTGAGGAGACCAGGGACCGGCAGGGCTCCGCCCACCTTCACATCGTGGCTTTAATGTCAACCTTTGCCCCCTAGCTGACTGTCCACCCCGCTAGAATGTACCACAGGGCACGGGACCTGGGACGGTGTGCTCACTGCTGCGTCCTGGGCACCCAGGGGGAGTGCCTGGAGAAGTGTGGAATTTGGTAAAAGGACAAAAAGGAGGGGGAAGGAATGAGGGAATGGAGGGAGGAGGAGGCGGCAGAGGAGGGGGATGGGGGACGGCCGGGGGCAGCCGCCATCCTCACCCTTGGCGGCCGTCAGCATGGCGGAGGCCAGCTCGCACTGGCGGGTCTCCAGGTGGCCAAGGATGAACCAGCGGGGGAAGCGGTTACTCATGACGGAGTCCAGTGGGCTGGCGTGAGCCTCTCCGGCGGGGAACGCTGTCTCCAGCACAGGCAGCCTGCAGGGAGGGGAGAAGTGGGCCCTCAAGTCCATCCCTTGGGCCGGCAAAGCCCTGGGCCCCCAGGGAGACGGAGGACGTGTGTGCGAGATGGTCACTGCAGTGTTGCTGATGCCCGTCTCCATGGGGAAGATCAAATAAACAATGCTCTGTTCGCACACCAAGGGCTCATTAAGGGGATTATTTATGTCCTGATGTGGCCTGTTACTCCCTCTATGACGCCCTCCCCTTGCTCACTCTGCTCCAGCCACTGTTCCCCTCAATGTCCCTCACCCACAACCAAGCACAGTCCAACACAGGGCCTTTGCACAGGCTGCTCCCACTGCCTGGAGCGCTCTTTCCCAGACATCCTTGTGGCCCCTCCCTCACCACCTTGAGGTCTTTGCTCAAATACTTTTCTTTTTTTTTTTTTAACAGAGGAATTTTTTCTTTTTTAAAGATTGGCACCTGAGCTAACAACTGTTGCCAATCTTCTTTTTTTTTCCTGCTTTTTCTCCCCAAATTCCCCCAGTGCATAGTTGTATATTTTTAGCTGTGGGTCCTTCTAGTTGTGGCATGTGGGACGCTGTCTCAGCATGGCCTGAAGAGCGGTGCCGTGTCCGTGCCCAGGATCTGAACTGGCAAAACCCTGGGCCGTTGAAGCGGAGCGCATGAACTTAACCCCTCAGCCACGGGGCGGCCCCTCAAATACTTTTCAGTGAGCTCTTCCCTGACAGCCAACCCCCGCACCGCCGCGCCCCCCACCACATGTGAAATTACAACTTCCCACTCCCAACTCCTTCCACCCTTTCTTGTGTGTCACCATCTGACACGCAGCATAGTTCACCTACTAACTTATTTACTGTCTCACTAAGATGCCAGCTCCCAGAGGGCAGGAATTTGTGACTCTTTCGCTCACAGCTGCATCTCTGCAGCTAGAGCAATGCCTATACACACAAGGGGAACAAGAGATGTCTGTTGAATGACTCGACATCCCCCTTAAGGTGCACCATACACATATATTTCGTTTAGAAAGTTCTTCAAAGTTGTCAGATGTGATCAACAGCATGAAATAGGAGTCAAGACTATTCTGGTTCCAAACAGTATCTAATGTTCTCTCTGTGTGCCTTTGGACCCATCTACACTGGTTTTGTAACGTGTAAAATGCAGGCAAACGTGCTGATTTCCTAGGTTGTTTAGAAGATTCTATGGGGTCATGTGCGTCCTGGACTTAGGTCAGGGGTCGGCACCTTTTTTGGCACAGGGCCGGACAGCCAATATTTTCTGCTCTGCAGGCCATTGGTCTCTGTCCCAACGACTCAGTCTGTCACTGTTGGCAAAAGCAGCCAGACAACACACAAACACGTGAGCACGGCTGTGTGCCGACAGAACCTCATTTCTGGACGCTGAAATCAGAGGTTCAGATTCTTTTCATGTGTCACAGAATCTTCTCTTGATTTTTTCCAATCATTTAAAAATGTAAAAACCATTCTTATCTGGGGGGCTGTAGCGGGCCCAGGAGGTTACAGGTGGCGGGCCGAATTTGGCCCGTGGGCTGTAATTTGCTGGGCCCTGGCTTAGAAAAAAGCCTTGCACAGAAAAGAGTGTTCCCTAAATCAGAGCTCTTACAGTCTGTTCTTTCTAAATATTCTGGAAAGATGCACCCAAATTGTTAATTGCTATCTCTGGCGGCCGGGCTCAGAGGACAGGCCCAGGTTGCATCTTATTTGCTGGGCATGGTTTACTATACAGACAGCTTTCAAAACTCTGCTTCTATGGTCTGCTGCTGCAGGTGAGAAATGTAACAAGATTATTCATTGCAACATTTTTCTGGAAACAGTGTAAATGTCTGTCAACTCCAGCCTGGCTCTTTGCTGGTGCGACCCCGCATGGACACCGTGGTTCACATGCTGTGTGACAGGACAAAGCCTTTAAGATCCAATGTTCAGTGACAACAGGTACAGGACGTAGCCTAGGTGTGAAAGGAGAATGAATTTTCAATTTCATTGAAATTATGGGATTGCAGAAATGTCTACTCTTGCAGGATAGATAAGAAAGTGGTAACACTGCTTGTCTTCAGAGAGATTTGGGGGGGGGGGGTGTTGGGAAAAATCTGCCTGGAAAAGGACTGAATTCTGTGCCACGTGGAGATTTCTCAAATTTAAAGTAAGAGAATGGACGATCGAGCACGCCTCCCAGCCAGCTCCTGCCCGCCGCTGGCCGAGCCCCCAGCCATCGCTGTCCTCACCTCATGGCTCGCAGCGCCAGGCGGTAGGCCAGGTCGGGGTCGTGGGGCAGCAGCGCGGCGAACAGGTAGCGGGCACAGGTGTGCATAGGCACGCTCTCCCGGAACAGCACCTCTCCGAAGCCGCTGAACGGACCCCCTGGAGGGGCAGCGGGAGCTCAGTCCCCAGGTGTGGGCTCACCTCCGCCCCTCCCAGGTCTCCCCAGGCCCAGGCTCTGAGTAGGGGATGTGCGGACCCCAGGATAGACTGGCTGAGCTAGGGGTCAGAGGGGATCCTGGGCAGCCCTGGGTCGGGGGCAGGACTCAGAGGCAGGGTGGGGCCAGAGGAGGGACGTGGGTCTGACCGGCGCCGGGAGCTCCTCCCTGCCTTAGGGGGCCGGGCCCCCAAGGCAGCAAAAGGGCAAAGCCAATAACGTCCGGCCGGGCCTCAGCGACTAGGCTCATTGGCTGCCAGCGTGGCTCGGGAGCGTGGCTTCACCACTAGCGCGGCAGCTATTGGCTGCCAGCACGGCTGGGGGAGGGGCCGAGGGCAGGATCTCGCCTATCAGGAACAGTCAAGGTACCACCGGGCTGTAAGGACCAGGAGGCGGGGCTGGGGCAGCAGCAACCGGGCTCACCTTCCAGCAGGAGCCCCGCCTGCTTCCGCAGCACCTGCACCAGCCGCTCGTCCAGCTCCACCTCCTCTAGCAGGGCCAGCAGCTGCTCCTCGTTGCGCACCACCTTGTCCTGGGCGTACAGCCCCTCGGGCAGGGCCCGCTGCTGCCCCAGACCCAGCAGGGCCACCTCCAGCGCCAGCGCCAAGTAGGACTCCCCAGGGCTCCCAGGCACAGGTACGTGCTGGTAGGCCACCTTCCGCTTCTCCGGGCCTGAGTCTGTGGGAGACGGTCACCAGAGCTGCTGGAGGGGACCCCCTTTCCTGGGACCCCAGTGGCCCTTGACCTCAAGCATGGAGAGTGGCGGGGTGGGGTTCACAGGGAGCACGGATGCTCCCAGCACTCACCAGGGGGTGGGGCCCGCCTTCTAGCAGCAGTTAGGCCTATGGTGGCCTCACTTTCAGGAGAAGCTAAGCCTACTGGTTCCGTGCACTGGCGAGGGGGCGTGGCCAAGCGTAGGGGCGTGACCTCATTCTAGGGGGTATGGGCTAGGGGCGTGGCCTCACTGTTTAGGGGTACCGGCCGGGGGCATGGCCAAATGCAGGGACGTGGTCTCACCGGCTATGGGATTATGGTCGGGGGCGTGGCCAAGCGTGGGGGGGGGGGTGGGCTCACTGCTTAGGGGGTACCAGCTAGGGGGCGGGGCCAAGGTGTCGGGTTTGTCCCACTTCTTCCAGGGCAACCCAATGTGGGTACCTGGGTAAAGGGTGAGGGTCTCTTCCTCCAGGCGACAGGCCTCCAGGAGCGCCCTGCAGAGGCAGCCAATGGGGTCCAGGGGGTGGCCCACCCATCCTTCGGTGTTGGTGATGCAGGTGGAGCCTTTCTGCAGCAGCTCTGCAGGCAGGAAGAGAGGCTCAGTGCACGCCTACTCTCCTAAACCCCCGGGGGGCCTTCCTCTCCCTGAACCCCAAGCTCAGCCTCCCCATGCCTGCCCACCACCTGCCCACTCAGCAGCCATTTTCTCTGCCCCTCTAGCTCTGCAGCGGCTCTTGCCCCCAGAGCCAGACCCAGGCCTGGCAGGACACAGGGACGAAACCATGCACTTTCTAATACATCCAACCAGTGTCATCCTCCTCATAACCCTAATCCCTCCCACCTCTCTCAAGCCCAACCAGCTTTCAGGGCTCTGTGGCAGCCACCCTCCAATGTCCCTGCACAAGCCAAGCTCTCTCTTGCCTCTGGGCTCCTGTGCATGCTGTTCCTTCTACCTGGAACACTGTTCCTCCCTCCCCTTCTCCGGGGAAACTCCTATACATCCTTAAGCTCTCAGCCTAGCTCTCATCTCCTTTGGAGGGCTTTCCCCAGGCCTCTAGGTCGGGTCAGGGCTCTGCTAGGGACCCACATGCCCCATGTTTCCATTACACCCTGCGTTCAATCTCCTGAGAACTGACCCATCAACGCAACCCTGCCACCCAGAGGACGCACCTGGGGCCCCTCCTGCCGCCCCTTATCTAGTCCACAAACATGAGTCTTTATCCCCCATATGGTGTGGGGTTTTTTTCCTAATACAAATTTGAACTGTTGCCCATGTTTAAAAAAATCAGTAAATTCCACATCAAATAATCCAGATTTCTGGCCTGTCTTGAAAAATCAGAAGGTCTGGCCTCACTGGGTCCATCCATGTTCCTGAAAGGCATATGGCTGGCACCAGCCTGCTACTGCAGGGGCCAGACCCTTAGAAACTACATTTCCCAGACTCCTTTGTGTGAGGAGTGGCAGGTGGGAGAGGACGAGGGCCGGTGAGCAGGTGTGCAGCTGTCCGCAGGCGCAGGCAGGAGGTTTGCCGGCAGGTTCTGGGTGTCCTCTTGGGAACTGCCCCCGCCGGGGCCGCCAGCCGCTGAGCTGTCAGCAGTTTGCGGCAGTCTCTGTGCTTCTGAAGTTCAAGTTCTTGACCCCGAGCAGCGGCCTCCCTGGCTTTCGATGCTGCAGCCCTGCCAGTGGTTTTGTGAGCCCTCAGTCCCCTGGATAGACTCCTTTCTGCTCAAGGCCCCTGAGAGCGGTTCCATTTTCCTGGTGGGACCCTGAGGGGTACCACAGACCCTCTGGGTTGCCACAGCCCCCCGGACATGGTGATAATATCGGTGCCTACCTTTCTTCTGCTGCTTGTAGGTCTCAAGCTGCTGTCGCCGCTGCAGCCGGAGCGTGTTGACCACGGCACCTGCCAGCCGCAGGGCCTGGCGGGGGTACCCGTGGGCACGCAGGGTGTCCACCCGGGCACAGGCGGTGGGGAAGGGCTCGCCCAGCCACAGTGGGTGGCCCTGGGGGTCGAAGATCGGCTTGTCGCTGCCCACGTTGCCGGTGAGGCTGGGGCCGTAGGAGTCACTGGCCAGGATCCTCTGCAGGTGGGCGTCGCTCCAGCGCAGGGACCCGGCCTGCAGGGCGCGGCCGAATACGGTGTGGCGGGAACCTGCAGCCGCCACCTCCTCCTCCTCCTCCTCCCCCTCCGCGCCTGCAGGAGAGGCGTCCAGCACAGCCTGGTGAGGCAGATCCTGGCGGTCGGGCCACAGCCAGGTCCTCCCCCCCCGAATGCCAGCTGGGAGAGACTGTGGGTGCAGCAATGGGTGTCACCTCCCCAAATACATGCAGCAGCCTTTCAAAGGCACAGGTGTGCGTGTGCGGCAGGGGGGGAGTTAGAGCCCTGTCCACACAGGTGGACAGCTGAGTGAACTGTATGTGTCCATCTCTCCCCCACACACAGTCCTCTTTTCCTCTCTCCATCTCTCTCTCCAGCCCCCATTCCTCTCTCTCCTCCGCTGTCTGTCTCTCTCCCTCCCTTTCTGCTTCTCTCTTCTCACTCTCTCTCCCTCCCTCTCTCTCTGTTCCCCGCCCCCATCCCTGCCTCCCCCCAGGAGGAGGCTGGGTCAGGAGACCAGCCCACAACTGCAGGGTCTGAAGGCTCTCCTGCCCCTGCCCTGGGCACTCACCTCCTCCTGGGGGGCGGTCGGGCAGGGCTGGGCCGTAGGAGGTGGTGACGGTTTGGTGGGGGGGCAGTAGGGGCCCCTCTCCTACCTGGGCTGAGGGCCACAGTGGGCCGCACGTTGGGGCCATCGAAAGAGTAATTGCCTTCTTCCAGTGGGCACACGTCCAGCTTGTCCCACTGGCCAAGCAGCTGGAGCCAGCTCGCCTGCTCCTCTGGTTTGCAGTGGGGGCTCAGGACGACGCACACCCACAGGGCCCCTGGGGAGGGAGGGCGGCGGATGTGGGCCTGGGGCAGGCTCAGCATTCACTTACAGAGGGCCTGCCTGCTGCTCTCTGCTTAACCCTCACCTCGAGCCTCTGAGGTTACAGAGAGGTACAAGCAGTTGCCCCAAGTCACACAACGGGGAAGGCAGCATTTGAACCCAGGCTGCCAAAGTCCTCTTGCTGTTTTTTCCCCTGTAGAATTTATCACCATCTCTCACGGGGGTCAGTCAACTACTGCCCACGGAGAAAATCGAACCCGCCCCCTGTTTTTGAACAGCCTGTGAGCTAAGATTTATTTTTACATTTTTAAATGGTGGGGGGAAAATAAATCAAAAGAAGAATATTTTGTGACTCGAGAAAATTATATGAAATTCAAATAAGTAAATAGTGTCCATGAATACACTTTCGTTGGGGTGCTGCCACGCCCAGTGGGCATGCATGCAGGGGCTCTCTCTCTCTCCAGCGGGCAAAACCCAGTAGTTGTGACAGACATCACACGCCTGCAGAGCTCAAACTACTGGCTATCGGCCCTTGTGGAGAAGGCGTGCGCCCGGCCTGCGGGTCTGCAGCGGTGCCTTGCCGGCCCCGGGGAGCTGTGGGCTCCCCAAGGCAGGGAGTCAGTCTCTCCCAGGTCCTGCTGTGGCCCAGCACCCAGGTCGGGCCTCTCACAGCGGAGGGGCCAGTTCACGGAGGAAGGACTCAGGGGCCAGACCTGGCAGCTGGCGCTGGCCGGCGCCCACCGCGCTCAGGGGTGAACCTTACCCAGCTCGTCCCACAGCTGCCGGCACTTGTCCGTCATGCCGGCGCCCTGCTGCCGCCACAAGGCCAGGCGTGGGTCCTGCAGGAACTGCTCGGTCATGAGGATCAGCATGCGTGCCCCATTGGAGTCACGCATCCGCAGCATCTCCCGCACCTGTGCAGGGGCAGGGCGATGAGGAAGGGGCGGTGCCGGCGCCAGGGCCCTCCAGCCCCGGGTCCGCCACCTGGCACAGCACCTTGCAGAACATGGAGCGCAGCTGCTGGCTGGCGCCATAGTAGCCACCGTTGGACAGCAGCTGCTTCACCTGCTCCTGGATCTGCTCCTCGTCCAGGTGCCAACAGTTGGCATCCTCGATTCCTGCGCCCGCAGTGGGGTCTGGGGCGCCTGCAGGGAGGGAGGGAAAGCTGAGGCTGGGGCAGGGCAGAGGGGGCATCTGCCCCTGCCGTTGTCCAGTTCTTCAAATCACCCAACCCGTCCCAAAGTTCCATCCATCACTCATCCTTCCCACCTGAAAAACCACCCATCCATCCATCCATCCATGTGTCTGCCTGTCCATCCAGCCATCCATCCATCCATCCGTGTGTCCACCTGTCTGTACATCCATCCAGCCATCCATCCATCCGTGTGTCCACCTGTCCATCCATCCATCCATCCGTGTGTCTGCTTCTCCATCCATCCAGCCATCTACCCATCCATCCGTGTGTCCATCTGTCCATCCATCCATCCCTCCATCTGTGTGTCCACCTGTCCATCTAGCCATCCATCCATCCATCCATTTTACACAAAATGTCACCCACCCATCCATCCAAACCACTCACCTGTCTCTCCATGCCCCCACGTCATGCCATGCATCTACCCACCCACACATTCATAACCCTTAACCTACCTATCTACACCATTAGTCTACCATCCACCCTACCCATAACTCCCACCTGCTCACCTATCTATATACCTATCCCACTGGTCCACCCCTCCATCCACCTACGCCCCCCATCTGTCTTTCCAACTCATCTGTGCCAACCACTCGAGATACCCACCAACCCATCTCTCCACTGACCCACACAACCATACTATTCATCCATCCAACTAACCCCAACTTTCTCTCTATTCTTCTCCATCGCACAGCCCATTCACATCTATCTCCCAAAACGCCCACCACCACCATCCACCCTCCACGAAACACCCACCCAGTCAACCCATCCACCATGGCTGTCCACACAGATGAACATTCCACGCACCCATCAACTCCCCCCAGTGCCTGCCCCCATTGGTCCTTCCCATCTGTCCAGCACCATCAGTCTACTTCAACCCCCGATTACAGCCCATCCTGCCTCCGATTCCCACCAACCCCCAATCCCCGAGTCAATCACCCATTTTTCCACACCATCGGTTCACGCCGACACAGCACCATGAATGCCTCCTGCATCCACTCATCCCCGCCCTCCAATACCCACCCGCCACTCGTCCGTCCACCAGTCTCCATGGGACTCCATCCTCTCGCCCTCATAGTGAAGCAACACAGCCCCTCGTAGCCCCAGACCCTCTCAGAGCTCCTAATTCCTGCTGGTCTGTCTCCCACCCATGACATCCACTAATGTCCACACATGCCCGCCACCCCTCCACACTCAGGCCTGCTCCTGTGATCTCGGGACACCCCCACCCTGGGGCCTGAACTCCCACTTGTTCCCTCAACTCAGGCTCTCTCCATTGGCTCACTTGTGACAATTCATCTGCCCAGAGCCACAGCAAATCCAGGACCTGCCACTTACTCGGTGTGTGACCTTGACCTCAGGCGGTGGTACTCCCCCCACCCCACTCGTGGATCAAGGGGACCTGAGGATTCCGTGACAAGCGCGCGTTGCACGGCAAGCAGGGTGGCGGGGAGCCCGGGCGCCCTTACCGTGTACCAGGTTGATCTCGGAGCCCAGGAGGAGGATCTCGTCGGCCAGGCGCTGGGCGGTGGGCAGCACCTCGGTGTGGTGGGCGCTGATGAGGTACTGCACGAACTTCTGTAGCTGCTCGCGGCTCATCTGCGACAGCGTCTCGGAGATGGGCAGCCGCAGCTCCACCTGGCGGGCGTGCCGGATGCGGTACAGCGACAGGGCCACCACGTGGGCACAGTAGAAGAGGTCACGGTTGTCGCAGCCACAGCTCACGGCCGTGATCTTGCAGCGGTCAAAGCTGACGGAGACAGGGTACAGGCGCTCGGGCTCCCCGGGGCCCCCTGGCTCCCGGATGTTTCCACTCAGATGGAACCCTACGACCAAAGGCAGAAGGTCACCACTGTGTCACCCCAGAGACGGGCAGCACTGGTCCGCGGTGCACAGCAAGGCCCGGGCACAAATCCCAGCTGAGTAACCTACTGCAAGTCACTTAACGTCTCCATGCCTCAGTTTCCTCATTTTTCAAATGGGAATAAATAGTGACATCCTCCTCATGTGTTTGTAACGAGGATTAAACGAGTTAATTTTTGGCTAGTGCTTAGAACACTGCTGGCACAGAGTAAGCTGTAAATAAAGACGTGCTCGTGTTCTAATTCTGAATAATATTACTGTATCGTAGTGACGATGTTGAAGATTATAGAGATGACGATGTTCTCAGCCCTCGGGTTGCCATGGATACAGCCCGGGCTCCAGGAGCCCTAGCCTTCTTGGGAAGATGCCTGTGACACTTGGGGGAGAGTGGCTGATGTGGCTCCCCAGGGGCCAGCCTACCTCTCACCCCCTGCCCCTCCCTGGCCCTTGGGGAGCCCAGATGCCAGGCTCATCCAACTGGTTGGGCAGCCCAGGCCCGAGCCGGCCCTGGCTGCGTCATGCGGGGAGACGGCGGCTTCCTCATACCAGCTGGAGGCGGCCAAGCTTGTGGCCGGCTGGGTCATGTCCAGGCAGGGGGGCCCCAGGCTGCCAGGGTTCAGGGAGGGTCATCCTGGTGGAGCCCCTGCCTCCAGCTGGGACACGGGGCATGCCCCATGGCAGACGTCACGTTCCGGAGCTTGCCTGCTTTCTGGCTCAACCTCCACCAGTCCCCTTGTGTGCCCCGCTGCCTGAGGTCTAGAATCATCTTTCATCTCTAGGTCTAAACCTCTGCCCCCTTCTCTCCCCTGGATCCCGCTGCCTGAGGTCTAAGACCATACCTCATAGCTGATCCTAAACTGCTACCCAGACTCCCACCCAAGCCTCGTTGCCTTAGGTCTGAGACCACCACTAAACCTCTGATCCCGACCTCCAGCTGAGTCTCTGCCTGAGGTCAAAGGCTACCTCTCACCTCTGGCCCTAAATCTCTGCCTCCAACTCTCACCTAAGCCCCTGCTGCCTGAGGTCTAGGACCATTCTTACCTCTGGCTCTAAACCTGAGCCCAAAGCATCACTGGGTCCCTCTGCCGGAGTCTGAGATGTCCTCTCACCACCTCTTCCCCTCCCCTGCTGTCTGTGGTTCAGGACTCTAGAACCACCTCTCACCTTGAGCTCATAACCCCACCCCCAGCCCCATCTGGGCCTGAAGCTGAGGTCTAGGATGCTCCATCACCCCATCTCAGCTTCTACCCCCAACCCCCACGGTGGCCTCCACCTGCCACCTAGGAACGGCTTTGCCTCAGTCCTCGACCCTTAGCTGGGCCTCACTGCCTGGGTTCTGGGGCCTCCCCTCCCCCGCTTCCTAGTTCACCAGCCTTCCCCCTACCCCCATCTAAGCCCGCTGCCTGAGGTCTAGGCAGATGGCTGATCTGGAGCTTGCAATATCTCACACAACCCTCCCTGGGCATGGAAGCCGGGGTTCTGGGGCCTGCCCTCCCTCTGGCCCGGGCCTGCTCCAGGCCTCCCTGCCTCGCTGGCCGGGGCGGGGGCCACACTCACCCACTTGCAGCACGCGGTCCACGGCCCCGCTCTGCAGCAGGTGCAGCCCGCGGGTGAAGGGCACCCGGGCGTCGTGCTCGCCCTCTGGGGGCTGGCAGCCCAGCGACGAGTACATACATATCTCCCGCTCGCTGCGTGGAAATGACCAGAACACGATGCGCTTCTGGACCGGCTCCGGCACCCGGGAGAACCGCTCCTCGACCTGTGGGAGGGCCGGTGGGTTAGAAACCCTGGCACAAATCCTGGCTTTGCCCCTTACAAGCAACAGGACCTGGGCAAGTCACTCCACCTGCCTGAGCGTCGGTTTTCTCAAGTGTGGGGTGGGGTGTTGACAGCACCTGGGGACCGTGAAGATTAAATATGCATTAAATATGCAAAGTGCTTACAGGAACATCTGGCTCACAGTTAGTGTTCTAGAACTTTCTGCCGCTTCTCTCCTGGGTGTCAGGTCCCAGGGTCCTGATGTAAGGTGGTCCCACCTCCCAGGCTTTGAGGGGGCAGGAGGAAGAAAGACAGAAGTGACAAGAATAGTGAGCAGGCCTACGTTATCTTAGCCCACACTGTGCTCAATGCTTTACGTACACGGTTTCTTTTAATTCTCACAGAAACAACCTTGTGACACTAGTTGTCACCCCATTTTGCAGCCTGGGGGATCTGAGGCTCACAGGTAGGCATTCACTTGTTCAGAGGCCCACAGTTGGCGAGCTCCGATTTTCGAGACAGGCTCTGTCCCCAGCTCCCCAGGGCCCCCAGGGAGGGAGGGGTGTCCTGGCCACCGCTGTGGGCTCTGGGCAATGAGCTGAGCGGGTTGAGCCCACGTTCCAATCCAAGCTTGCTACTCACGGGCTGGGTGACCTTGGGCAAGTTTCTCAGCCTGTCTGTGCCCCAGCTTCCTCAAAGTGGGAAGGAGAACAACTCCCAGAGGCCCGCAGAGGATTCTGGGAGCTGCTGCAGGCGAGCGCTTCCCTTGCCCCCGGCCTGGCCAGGGCCGGCACGTGGGAGCCCCGAGGTGGGTTTAGGATTATTCTGGGTGTCTCACACACAATGAGGGAGCAGAAACCCTCTGGAGCCCCCAAGCCGGGGTTGCAGGGGGGAGTGGGAGGGCGAGCGACTGGCCCAGGCCTCAGGGACAGTTGGCAGATGACTAAGGAGGGATTTTCCTGGCCATGAATCAGAGTGTGCCCCATCCACGCCTGACCCAGACCCGCCAGTCCCGGCAGACTTCCTAACTCTGGAGAGGCCAGCAAGCAAGGGACGCCCCTCACAGTCAGATGGGGGATGGGGGAGGTGGGGGGGGGGGTGCCGGGTAGGGTGGGCTGCAGAAGGCACGTCTGGTCCAAGCCACATCTCCAGCTCCTCAGGGGCCCACACTGAGGCTGGGAAAGGAGACTTCCACTGCCCCAAACTTGGGGCATCCTGGCAGAGCCCCTAGAAACTACAGAGGTGGGGTTCCAGGTGCACCTGTCTGGTCCTGAGCCCCGGGTCCCGCCCCCGCTGCCACCTCTGGACGGACTGGGATGGCTGGGAGGGCGGGCGGGGAAGGGTGAGTGGAGCTGAGGGGCAGGGCCTGAGAGAAGGATCTGGAGCACTGGGGGGGTCCCCATGGGACAGGTGGGTTCTGGAGGCTGAGGTCTGTAGAAATGGGGGAGTCCTTTCCTGGGGTGGGAGAACAGGAAAGGTGAGTGTGAGACTCGAGGGGCTGAGAAAGGGGGTGTCGCCAAGTGGGGGCGGCTTGTGGGTGCTGGAGAGAGGAGCGAGGATTGGATGGGGGCCCTAAGCGGAGGAGGAGGACGAGGTGGGAAAGAGGGGTCCCCAGGGCCGCGAGGGGACCATGGGGCAGGAGGAGAAGGAAGCGTCCTGAGTCGGGATCCGGGCGCTGAGGGACCCCCGGGTCTTGCGCGCGGGAGGGCAGGGGTGGCGGAGACGGGATGGGGTGGGTCACGGGGCTTGAACGAGGGAGGTGGCAGTACGCGCGGTGACTCGGGGCGGGGCGAGGGGGGGGGCTCGGGGGGGTCCCCGGGGGCGTATCCGACGGCGGCAGCTCCGGAGTCGGGGGACGGACCGGGAGGAGAAGGCCGCCCGGGAAGAGGCTGGGGGCGCGCCCCTCCCCCTCCCGCGGTCACCTGCTCGAAGGCCCAGCTCTCGGCCACTCGCTTGGCGCTGAGGTCCAGCAGCGCCTCGGGCCGGCCCCGGCCGCGCACGGCCCCGGCCCCGGCGTCGCGCTCCTCCGGTCCCGCGGGGCAGCCCCGGCTCCGCTTGGCCGCGGGGGGGTCCATCCGGCCGGGCCGGGGCCGGGGCGGGGTCTCTTAGGGGAGGGGTCGGTCCGATGCCCGCTCCGCTTCGCCGGCTCCCGCGACGCCAGCCCACCTTCCCTCTTTCCTCCGCGCTCGGCCGCCCGGGGACCCCCGCCGCACCCACCCCCGCCCCGCGCCGGGCCAGCCGGGCGATACGGCCCCTTTAAGGCTCTTCACAACAATGAAGCTGCCTGAGCCGCCGCTTTATCCTCCGCCGCCGTCCCGCCCCCGCCGCCCGTCCCCATTGGCACCCTCCTCGGCCTCCGAGGCCCTCCCCCGCCATTGGCTGCACCTCCAGACGCTTTTCCAGGATGCCGCTGCTCATTCGTTTCAGGAGCTGCCTGTCTTTCCAGGGCGGCCCAATCAGAGCGCTCAGCGAACGGCGCTGTCAATCAGGGGGCGCCGGCGGCCAATCACAGCAGGAGGACCCCCGCGGCGCCGGCCTCTCGCGGAGTTTCGGGGCGGGTCCCGGGTTCATTCACAACATTCCTCCCCCACCCCGGGGGCTGGACAGCGCGCCCGGGGCAGCTGGGGCTGCGCCCACACACGGCTTTGTTTACTGAGGGTCGCTTCCGGGCGCCGCGAGGGGACAATCCACATGGCTCGGCCGGGGAGCGAGACGGAGCTGCGGGATCCCCGGGCAGCAGCGCGGCCCCTCCTCCGTCTGGGTTGTGTGATGCGAGGAACTTTCTCAGCCTCTCTGGACGCCAGTCAAGTTGTGATGCTTTTGGAGGGGGGGGTTGGGGGCATCCCAAGCCCCTTGGTAGACCTCATGGGGGCTGCGGAGTCCCTCTCTAGAAACAGAGCCCAGTTCCAGCTCATCCTTGAGCCCCAAGCTAAGAACCCCTAATCCATTCTACGCCCTAACCATTACGTGGTCATATGACACTGGATTTTCGGCTATTTCTGACCTACTGAAATGTCAGTGTCCTAATTCAACGTAATACAAGTCCAGTCCGACCACCTCTGTTTTTTTCTGACCCGGTTGGTCGGGGCCACGCTCTCTGGCCCGGAAGCCGGCCCCGCCCCCGCATCCTTCCTCCCTGTGTCCTCGGAGAGCCCTGCCGGTCTCCTCCGCCCCGCTTCCCTCCACCATCGTTACGTTTCTGGATCTGTTTTCGGCAGCGGTTCGATTCCGGCCCCGCTCTCTCCGCCGGGAGCCCCCCAGACGCGGTGGCCCGTCTGATCCGGGCGCCGCGGTGCCGCCAGCACCTGTCCGGCGGGCGGACAGCAGCCACTCAGCCTGGAGCTTGCTGACTGACCCAACTCAGCTTTGCTCCTGTTCATTCGAAATTACCTAGAGAGCAGGAAAGACCCAGGGTGGCCCCTCAGTGGCCTGACGGCCGCCACCCCTTCTCATATGGAAACTCTGGCTTTTTCCTTCCAGGAACTTCGTTTCACAGCTGCGCTTTCTGGCCAGTCCCCAACCCACCATTCAGTAAAGTCCCCCCGACCTGCGCTGTCACCACCGGCCATAAGTGGCCTTTTCATCCTTGAAATGGGGCTGGCCCGAACGGCGCTGACCTACAAACGGAACACACAGATCGGATTTCTGAGACTTGGTAGGAAAAAAAAGGTAAAATTCCTCATTAGAAATTTTTAATATTGCTCACGTTGAAATATGGATGATAAATAATGTAAATGAATTTGGGTTCATTCCTATGGGACGGCGGTGGCCTTGGGAAGAAGCCACCAGAAAGCAGTGATGATAGCGTCCTGACCGCTCCAGGGCGCTCCGGCTGTCCACACGTCACCCAGTGTGAGCCCTCCACCACCTGCACAGTGGGGACCAGTGCCTCCCTTTCTCAGACAAGGAAACCAAGGCTCAGGGCGGGGCAGGGGTGGGGGTGGGGGTCCTTGCCTGAGCCACCCAGCCTGGAGGCCTGGGCTTCCTGGAACGTGCACCGCCTGCAGAGGACTTGAGGCAGAGACAGAGCCCCAGGCGCCCCCCTCACACATGGGCCCGGGGACCCCCTCAGCATCTGGTCTGTGACGACGACAGCTGAGCCCGGCTCCCAGCCCCGAGGATGCTCCAAGGGGGGGTCCCCAGATGCTGAATCAGAGGCCACTCCAGGCCGGGGGAACAGTGGGTGTGGAGGAGGAGCCGAGAATGGGTCATCGCAGGGTGGGGAGGCATTCTTTTATTCTCTAACAGTAGATACGGATATTGTCATCATCCCCATCTGACGGATGAGGAAACAGAGGCCCAGAAAGGTGGCTTGCCCAAGGCCAGCATTCAAGCCCAGGTGGGTGGGCTGGTCCTGTCACATTGGCTGGAGATCAAAGGCAGAATTTTGGAAACACCAAGATTCTATTCCAACTCTATTCTGATTTTACAGATGAGGGGAATGGGGCCCAGAGAGGGTCAGAGAGTTGCCCAAGGCCACACAGCGATCTTGGGTCAAAAAGCCCCTGGGAAGATGGGGGTGCCCCCAGGATGAGGTCTCTAGGCCTATCTCAGACGTGCCTCTTGCCAGCGGCACTTTCAGGAGAGGCGAGGTTGGGGGTTCAGCCGCTCACGTTCTCCCTTCTGTGGCAGCCGAGCTGGGGCTCCAGGGAAACGGAAGCTGCGTTCACCCTGCCCGCCGGCCGCCGCCGTGAGCTCACTGTCTAGGCATCTGCAGCTCCTGACCCGAAGCCCACGTGTCCTCAAGACCCACGGGAAACGGGCAACCCTGGAGCCCAGCCGCCAGCGATCTATGGGCGCCGCCCCGTCCCCTCCCTTCCCCGGAGCCCCTCCCTCTGCCAGCCGCGCGGGCCCCGGCCATGACTGCAGGAACCGGCCGGGCGGTTTCGCTTCCTGGTCCCCGCGGCCCCTGGCGCCCAGCTGGAGGCTTGCTTCCTCCGTGTCTTCCCTCCCCTTTCCAAGCACAAAGTCATGGGGAGCATCAGCACCCGGCCTGGAAAAACGGGCACTGGAGGCGGCGCGGGACGGCGGAGGAAGGGCCGGAAGCAGCTGGGCAGGGACCTCGGTCCGGCAGGCAGGGAGTTGGTGGCCGCTGGGCTCGGCTGGCTCCCCTGGGACTCGGCGCGGCAGCTCCAATCACACCTGTGAGGCCCTCCGCTTTCAGGCTCCCGAATTCCCCACGGGGGTGGGTGGGTTAGGGTTCATTTAACATGGGGAAACTGAGGCTCAGAGAGGTGAAGGGACTTGCTGAAGGTCACACAGCCAGGAAGTGGCAGAAACTGGCCTAGGCCGCGAGGTGAGGGGGTTTCCAAGAGTCCGGGCTCTCCGAGCCAGCAGCAGGGGGGCTGGTGGGCAGGTGCAAGGCAGGCACTCTGGAGTCACCCAGGGCGGGAACGGGAAGTTGATGCTGTCTGGGGAGGTGGAGGGGGAACGAGTGGGTGACATTCCAGACCCCATGCCTGTCCCGCCTGAATGCCTTTCCTCGCCCCTGGGGTCCTCCTCAGAGGGGCTGGGGTCAGAGGGACAAAGGGAGCCAGTGGACAGTGCCCTTGGCCATCCGTGGGCCTGGCCTGGATTCACGGCGCCTCCTGGTGGCCGCAGGAGGCCCCGGATGGCGCCCCAAGCCCACGGGTCCCAGCCCAGGCCCTTTGAGGTTCCGGTGGACAGGGACACCGAGGATGACAGGGGAAAGGTGGAAACCATCCCAAGAGGAAATCGTGACTCTGACAGACAGTGAAGACGAGCCTGGGCCAACACTGCTATTGAACTCGTGTGAACCAGGCAGATGCTACACTTGGCTCAGAAGCGTCTGGAGAACAGGTCCCTCACAGATCAGACTCTGGGCATAAACACCCGTGCGGCCGGACGGACACTGGCTTTTGCACGTGGGAGGCGGGCTGTCCTCGGACCCTCTGCCGGACGGGCTGGAATCGGTTGTACGTGGCCGTCAGATTTTCCCGGTCCCGGAGCAGACAAGGCACACACCAGGCCACAACCGCACAGCCCAGAAGGGCGCGCTGTGTGGAGAGGATGCACAGAGCGGTCGCCGCGGAGTCACCGAGACGTGGCCCTCCTTGCAGCAAGGTGGGGGGATCCCTTCCCTCCAGGAGCGCCTGTCAACCGGGCAGCCCGGGCGCCGTCCCGCAGCTGGGGCAGCAGTGAATTGGCAAAGGCGGGGCCCGGAGCTGCAGGGCCCGGAGCTGCAGACGGATGGGAGGGGCACAGTGGCTGGTCCTGGGGGCCAGGGACAGAGAAGGGCTCTCTGGGAGGACGTGGAGAGGAGGAGGGAACAGCAGGTGCAGAAGGCCAGGAGGCAGGACAGGGCGGAGGCGGGGGCTGGGGCTTCCCGTTATGCCCACCAGAGCGTCAGCTCTCAGCCCTTCCAGCCCAGTGTGCGCCAGGCTGTACACACAGTAGGGGTGCAATAAACACCCAAGGGGCAGAATGGACCCTCTCGAAGGGTGGAAGTCAGCCCTGCCCGCCGAGGTGGCCCATGCCGCCCCCCCCCCCACCACCCTGCAAGGGACCCCAAACTGCCAGGGCCCTGCTTCAGCTGCCACCATTCCCGACTGTTCGAGATGTCAGTTACGATTTTGTGTGTGAAACTGCTGCCCCTGCCTTTTCCATTTGATGGTTAAAACTCACCTATAAAAGTCATCGTTTAAAAGTGCGCGACCAAGCGACATTTAGTACATTCACAGTATCTCACAGCCATGTCTATCTAGTTCCGGAACATCTGTAGCAGCTCTGCAAAAACCCGTCGCCGTGAGCAGTCACTCCCCACCCCTCCCCTGGCCCCCGCGGATCTGCACGTTTCTGGACTTGCCTGTCACGGACATTTCACATCAGTGGAACCACTGTCTGTGGCCTTCTGGGACCGGCTGCTCTCACCGAGCAATTGTGCTTCATGCCCAGCGTAGCAGGAATCAGCGCTTCCTTCCTTTTTGACAGCTGAATAATATTCCACCGCGTGACCACATCCTGTTTGTCTGCTGACGGGCTGAGAGACACACGGGCTGTGTACGCTTTTGGGCCACTGCAAACAGTGCTGCTGTGACCACATATGTACGAGTTGTCATTTGAATCTGTTTTCAATTCTTCTGTGTGTGTGCCTATGAGTGGGACCGCTGGCTCACGTGGCAAACCTATGTTGAACTTACTGAGAGGGCACCAAACTGTCTTCCACAGTGGCTGTCCCCTGCTTTCTAAAGAAACGTTGCTGGTTCAAGAAGTTTTAAACACCACTGTGTGTGGGACCAAAAAAAAACACATCTGAGGTGGGTGAGGCTGGCCAGGCAAGGATGGGCCAGCAGGGGACCAGTCACCCACCTCGGGGGGAGCAGCCAACTGCACCCACAGGCGCCACCACCTCTCCCAGATAGCAAGTCAGTGTCGCCCAGCCCGCAGCCTGCCAGCCCAACCACCAGCAGAGGGAGGGCACCAGACCAGCGGCCCCTCCTGACTCCACAGGGAAAGTGGCTCCCTTGGACACCTGGCTCGTCCCTGGCAGAGGGTGACCCCCAGGCTAGAAGCACAGAAGTCCCTGGGGAGAGTGCTGGGGTAGTGCTGGCTGGCTCACAAGAGTGCACGATGCAGGAGGAGGGAGAGTCCGGTTTATTGTTCAGGCTGAAACTGTGGAGACAGGACCTGGAGAGGGGAGGGGGCCGCGGGAGCTGGTGCTGGTCCCCTCTGGCCTCTGCTGAGTTCCAGGCACTCTATGGACCTGCTGCTTGGTCACCGGCGCAAGGGCCGGCCCAGTGAAGCTCGAAGTGCCACCTGAGGCTCTGGGGCGCATGGCTCCTGCTCCCCACAGTGCGCATGGTCTTCCCTGGGCTGCTGTCCTCAGGAAGGCGTCTTGGAGGAGGAGGCTGCCTCCTTCTTCTTGGCGGGGGCCTTCAGCAGCGCCAGCTTCTTGGGCAGGCTGGAGCTGGCTTTCATCACCACATCATGCTCGATCTTCTTCCGGATCCCGACCTCCAGGTCCTGAGGGGGCAACGAGGGGGCAATCAGACCGCATGGTTCCAGGTGGTCAGATTCTAATAATTCTAAAGGCAAAAACGATGGAATCCGACCTGGATGTGAGAGGAAAAGGGCTCAAGAACGACCCCGAGGATCCGGAATGGAGACCACAGCAGGACCCTGGGCCGGGGCAGAGGAGGACTCAGGGCCTGGCTCTGGACATGCTGAGTTTGAGACACACGCCTCGCCCACCACCAGATGGAGGGAAGCAGGTGGCTGGGGGCCTGGGTGGGAGAAAACTGAGCTCCGGGACACGAAGCACTTTGCTCAAGATTGCAGGGCGGGTTGGCACACGGATGACGATACAGGCTGCGATCTGACTCCACCAAAACCAGTCTTAAGTCTCTGTAACTTCTTTGTACACTCAACACTACTCACCTACATATAACGAAGCCACATTTAAAGACAGCCGTGAAAACGACAGCAATGGCCACAGCAGCCATCGTTTACTGTGCCCCACGCTGTTCTCAGCGCTTACAGGTGCCTAGTGACCTTGACTCCCTATAAGTCTGGGAGGAAGGCGCTAGCTCTCCGACTAGGGCACAGGGGAGAGGCTCAGGGCAAAGAAACACCAGCCTTCCTGAAGCTGCGACTCTCCCCAACTATGCGCTGCTTTCCTGCAAAGGTGCAGTTTTCACCTCCTTTCCCATGCCACCCGCTGCAGAACGTTAACAACCACAGCAGCTGACTTGCGTTGAATACTTTTGGCCTGCCAGGCCTAGAAACCTGTTAAATGCTAGGTGATGATGCTGTCGCCACTGCACGGGGGACGGAACTAACGCTCCCTGAGCAGGGAGTCCTCCAGGCTCCATCCCTCGTCCCTGAGCGGATTCTAGGCTCCATCTCCGGTCCTCCCCGCGCCCCCCCCCCGCCCCGCCTCCCTCCGGCTCCGGGCCCCTCCCCAGCCCCCCTCCCTCCCAGGCCCCGCGCCGGCTCCGGGCCCCTCCCTCCCTCCCGAGTGCCCCCGCCGGCTCCGGGCCCCTCCCGGCTCCCTCCCTCGCCCGCACTCGCCTTCCTGAGCTTCCGCTGCTGCACGATGCGCGCCTTTTTGGGGGCGATGACACGGCCTGGAGAGAGACGCGCTCGCGTGAGGCGGGGGAGCCCCGGGCCCGCCTCACCCCCAGCCCCCGGACCCCTCCTCACCGCCCTTCCTCGGGCCCCGGTTCCGCTCGGAAGCCGCCGCCGCCGCCGCCGCCTTGCTCTTCGCCGGCTTCCGCGCCTGGAACTTGTGCTGCCCCTGCGCCATGGTCGCGCATGCGCCGGAAGAGGCGTGGCCGTGAGCCCCGGCAGCCGGAAAGCGCAGGGCACGGTGGGATACAGTGGGGTCAGAGGGCGCAAAGGCTCACGGGATACAACGTGGCAAAGAATTACAGGGACAGTACATGGCAAAAGTGGTGGATCACAGGCAGCGTTTCCGGAGTTTCAAAGGAAAGGTTACAAAGGCAAGTTAACATTTACTGGGCGCTTATTTGTAAAACTTACCCTGTTTCATGCTCTTTATGTACAAAATTCAGTCTAGGACTCGGGTGAGGCAAAATTTAAGAGAGTGCCAAAAACTTCCAATGATCAAGATAATTTTCAACACTTAAAAATAATATTTTATTAAAAAAATCAAATCACCAAACTACAGCCTGCTGCCCAGCTGCCTGATGTTGTGAATAAAGTTTTATTGGAACGAGGGCCAGTAACAGAGGTGAGGTCAGTACCTTCAAGGTGTCTAAGGTCAGGGTTCCATTCTATTTAAAATCTTGCTATTTTGTTTATCACAGGTTGTTTTTGCGGGAATTTTGATTTTTAAAAAATATTGCATGAAACTATTACTTATCTTGATTACCGACCTTTTGGGCACCCCTGCAGAGTCCCAGCCCTGCCAGCACCCTAACAGGGTGGAACTAGTAAGATCCCCATTTGTGAGGAAACCACAGCGTGGAGAGGTGAAGTGACTTGGCCATGATCACACAGCAGAAAACGTGGCAGAGCTGGGAGGCGAACTCGGGCAGCCTGGCTCCAGCCGCTGGGCTCTTAAGGGCCGTGCAAAGGCCCTGTCTGCTCTCCCCGCTCTAGGAGGAAGTGTGGCTGAGGGAAGGAGGTCAGCTTTGGGCAGGCCATTCAATAAGTTTAGTATAAAATCTAGGAGGATCGGGGCAGAGTATGCAGAGCCCGGCCGGTGACTTCTGGGCTCCATCTAGGGTGCCCCACTCAGGAGGCGGTGGCATTCAGGGCTGCCCGGAGCTCCTCGGGGGCAAAGACGCCCATCTCCGTGATGATGCCGCCGGTGATGAGGTCATGGGGGGTGACATCGAAGGCAGGATTCCAGACCTCAATCCCTGCGGGGGGAGAGGGGAGGCAAGAAGGCAGGCACGTGGCTCAGTGATAGTTCTCAAGCTGTTGTCACCTGTCCCCCCCACAGTGGTTCTTGGAGCTGGGGAATCCTTGACAATCTGGGGATGCTCACCCCAAAAGTGCACAAAGGCATGGGCTTTGGCACCCAGTAACAAATTTAGAGCCCCCACAGTTCCTGGACTGTCCTCGTCCAAGAAGAAGGTTTCAAAGTTTTATATACGTGCACCCCACTTGTGCCTGCTCCAAGGATCCCTTTAAGAACCTCCAAAAATCCACCTCAGGCCCTTTGCACAGGCTGCCCCCTGTGCCTCAGATATGCACATGACTCGCTGTTTCACTTCCTTCAAGTCTTTACTCAAATGTCCCCTTCTCACTGGGCACTTCTCTGATCAGCCTGCCTAAACCCCTGGCACGGACACTTCCCACACCCTTCTGTGCCTGCCTGTTTCTCCTCAGTCCTCACCCCCTTCCAACATACACTATAACTGTTATTGTCTCCTTGGTTGTCTGTCTCGTCCACCGGACTGTCAGCTCCATGAGGGACCTGTGTCTCTGCACCTTGCGTGGCAGCCAGCATCGGCCAGGCCCTTGAAAGCACGTGCTGAGTGCATAGCAGCTTCTTACACAGGAGGCCGCAAAGGGGGCCGTAACTGTTTTCTCTGCTCACAGTTTTTTTAGGACCACCGAATTAGCAGCCAGCTTTCAAAACGTGGGCAATTTCATACGTGAAAAAATGTGAGGCTTCTCTTAGAAAAACCAGAAGACCCGCACCCCGGGTCTGCGTCCCTGTGACCGCTGGCTGGAGCAGAGTCCTGGGGCTGCCGACTGCACCTGGCTGTCACTCCTCCTTGGTACCCTGCTGGCCCCAGCTTTCTTAGGGCAGGGCGGGGCGACTGTCAACCCTGCTTTCCACGGTCTTCTGGATTTTGACCAGTGCTAATTATGCCTCCAGGAAAGCAGTGACACCAAAAAAAAAGTTTTGGAATTAAGGGTCTATCTTTAAAAAGCTGTAAGTGATCAGAGGAGAGAACAGAGCGTCAGGAATGTCCTCTGCTTGGCGGTAGACAATGATTTTTACTCTATACGTGGACTACGGGGTGGCCCCACGGTGTCCGCAGGATGAGGGACCTTAACGGGTCTCCTTAGAGAAGGTTTCCATCACAGGCTTAATGTTCCATGAGCCCTGACTGAGGGCCAGGGACCACATCCCACAGCACATGGGCCTATGAGGGAGGTCATCCTAACGGCCCATGCTAGGGACGGGCACCCAGGCCGGCCGCGGTGGCACCGCTACCAGGTGTCTGTTCTCTCGCAAGACAGTTTGACCTTGAAGCTGACCTCCAAGACGCTTCCATTCCAAGAAACGGCTTGAAGGAGTGGCCCGTGAGTCAGAAGGCGGCTGCCACCCCAAGGGCCACCTGCCCTGTGAAGGCGCCGGCTGTCCCGGCACAGATGCCCCTCCACTCTGAGCAGATGGCTTACCGGGCGCCGCGACCCTGACCCCGCTGACGTCTGTCAGCTCCTGGCCGGGGCGCTCCTCGATGACAATCTCCCGGCCCGTCTCCAGACAGAGGTCACACGAGGAGCTGGGGGCGGCCACGTAGAAGGGGATGCCGTGGTGCTTGGCGGCAATGGCCAGCTGGTAGGTGCCCACCTTGTTGGCCGTGTCGCCATTGGCAACCACGCGGTCAGCTCCCACGACAACGGCTGGGGAGCGAGACGCTGGGGTCATGACCCGGCCTGCGCCTGGCGCCCCGCCCCCGCCAGGACACGTCCCCTGGGCCTGCCCCGCTGACCGGACACGCCGCGCTGGGCCATGGCTGCGGCTGCCGCGCTGTCGGCGATGAGTGTGGCGGGGATCTGCTCGTAGACCAGCTCGAAGGCCGTCAGCCGCGCGCCCTGGTTGTAGGGCCGCGTCTCCGTGCAGAGGGCACGCTCCAGGCGGCCCAGGCGGTGCAGCGAGCGGATGACACCTGCGGCCCGGCCCGCGAGGCCGGAGGGGACAGATGGCAGGACGGCCGCTGGCTGCGGTGGACCCCACCAGCGCTCCCTGCTCCTCCACCCACTCGTCACCTCCGAATGCACTGTACAGGTTTGTGCCTTACACGGGCGTGTCTGTCCCTCCTCCTCAGGCAGACACTGTTACTGCTGGGTCCCCTGCGCCCGGAACTGTCTCTGACACACAGTCGGGGCTGAATCAATGTTTGTTGAGTGAATAAAGGAATGCACGCATGCATGAATGAAGGGCACACAGCAGATGCTTACAAAATGTTTGTTGAGTGAATGAAGAAATGTCTTGCCATCAAGGCCTCAGTCCCCACGCATGACGGTGGGACCCAGGCAGGCAGGGAAAACTCCTGAGGATTGAGAGTGGAGTGGCATCTGCTACCTTACCTCCCAGGACCCAGTCCCCCCTCTTTGTCACAGCTCCCCCAATCTTTCTTTGTGGGGGTCCAGGCCCTTCTCCTCAGTCCTCTTGGAGTCCACATTCAGCTCACTGTCTGGCTCAGGCTGTGCCCATTGACTGACTAATTCTGGATGGGCAGCTGACCCTGTGAGCTCCCCTGAGATGCAAGAAGCCTTTTCTGGCCCAGTCAGCAGGGAGACCCTTGGCTCTTTTCCTCTTGATCTAAATGCTGGCAGCCCCCCTGCTGACCCATGGAGTGTGAGGAGGAGGGCAGAGCTTGGGCACTGGGATGGATGGGTCCTGATACTAGCATTTGAGACCCTGGGTCCATCCGTACCTGAAAACAACCCTCTTAATTATTTCTGTACAAAAACTAATAAGTTTACTTTTTTTTGGTGGGCAAATTAGCTTTTGTTCCTTCTTCTTGCATCTACAAAAGGCCCTACGCCATCCCCATGGATGTGCACTCACCTAGGGCTGTGCCATAGCCAGAGGTGGCCAGCGCCCCAGTGTTACAATGGGTCAGCACAGTCACCTTGCCGCCCCCGGGGGCTGCCTTTTCCAGGAGGTGTTGGGCTCCGAGGTCCCCGATGCTGCGATTGTCCCTGAGGTCTTTCTCCAGCATGTCCTCGGCACAGCGGATCACTCTGGGGGCGACGAGGGGCTCTGGGCGCCAGCCACCAGGACCAGGGGCCCATGCCAGCCCCTCCTCCCTCCCATGGAGGCTCCGCAGGAGCACTTCCTGCTCCGACCTGCCTGCAGCGGCCCTCGGCCTGCACCCTTCTGCCGCTGCCACCTGGCCCTCCACTCGATCATGCAACACGTGTTTACTGAGCGCCTCCTGTGGGCCAGGCACCGGGGGACACAACGAGATAAATGTCCCAGCTCCCAGGGAGCTGACACTGGCGTGGGGTAGCAGACTGTGCAGATCATAGAGTGAAGGAAAAGACAGTGGAGTCAGGCGCAGGGCGCAAGAGATGAGGTGGATTGTGAGGAGGTGGGGAAGGCAGAAACCTGAACCCTGAAGACCAGGGTATTAGCTCTGTGGACACCTGGCCGGCAGAAATGGCACGTGCAAAGGCCCTGAGGCAGGAGCCCGGCTGGTGGAGTCAAGCACCACGGAGAGTAACGCTGTACCTGGGAAGGCGGGAAGAGAGGAAAAAGAAGAGGGCAGGGAGGAACCAGAACAGGATATAAAATTCCTGAAATGTAAAAAGCAGGAGGAGGAAAGAACCCTGAAAAGGACCTCCAAGGGCAGACAAGGACTGAGCATGCTCAGGTGAGGCGCAGCCAAGGGGCTGAGTCCAAAGATGCGGAGGCCAGGCTGCAGACGGTGGACTCCAGCCCTGCCTGTGTAACCTTGGACTAAACGTGCCGTGCCTCAGTTTGCCCATCTGGAAAACATGTCGCTGTGCCCCAAATAGGAGCCCAAAGCCTCCGCACAGAGTAGCGCCCGGCCCAGGCCCCTACCTCTCCCGGACCGTCTCCTCCGTGGCGCCCTCCCGCTCGGCCTCCCGGGCGGCGGCGTCGGCCAGCTGGCGGGCGACGCGGGCCATGTTGACGGCGGTGGGCCGGGCGGTGACCAGGAAGCTCAGCGCCTCGCGCACGAAGGCCACGAGCGCGTCGAGCCCCGGGCCCCCCGCGCCGGCCTGCAGCTCCACGGCGAGGCTGAGGCAGCCCACGAGCGCGATGGCGGGGGCGCCGCGCACCTGCGGGGGGCGCGGGTCAGGACGGGGGCCGCCCCCACCATCACGGCCCTGCGCCCCCAAACCCGGCCGGCCCCCCAGCCCATGCGCCCCCCGCCCCAGCCTGGCCGCCCACCTTCATGGCGCGGATATCCTCCCAGGCCTGGCGCACCGAGCCCACCGCCTCGTAGCAGCTGCGCTGGGGCAGCAGCAGCTGGTCGAGGATCTGCAGCGAGCCCCGGGAGTAGCGGATCGCCTCCAGCGCCATACTGCCGCCGCGCTCAAGGACCGGGACGGGGCCGCGCGCTCGGGGGGCGGGGTCGCCCCGGACGGCGCGCGTGCGCACATCGACCCGCGCGCTCCGACCCGCGCGCTCCGGGGCCCGCCGCGCACGTGGCCGCCCCCGCCCCGTCCCAGCCTCCTGCCAGCAGCCCCGCCCGCGCTCGGCCTCCTGTGCGGCGCCTGCGGGAGGCCGGGCCTTGCACTCAGCGTTCGCCTGACCGGACTTACGGGGTCACAGCAGGACCCTCGACCCCCGGGCTGGCCCCCTTAGGTGCCTGACTTCTCCAGCCAGAGCGAGCGCTCCCGTGGCCCTCACGCGCGGTTCCCAGAATGAACGGACTTTTCCTGCTGCCCCGCCACCTCTCCGGGGCCCGGGGGTCAGGCCCCCACCGCGGAGCCGCGCCAGCAGGAGCTGGGCGGGAACCTCAGCCCCCGGGCCCGGCTTGGCCCCCGCTGTGTCCCCAGCGGCTGGGACAGTGCCTATCACACGCAAGGCCCCACCCTCTGTGAAAGGAGCCTCCTGCTCCAAGGTTCGGGGGATGCCCGCCTGCTTCTGGGCCATTTTCTGCTCCGTGTACGTTTCCTTCAAAAGCAGCGACGTGCTAGGGACTTTTTAGTGACCTGTCCAAGGTGCCCCCATGGGCCGGGGACACGGAGCAGCCTCCACCTGTGTGCTCCAGCCCCAGCTGCATTTGGCACAGGTCCTGGGTGTGTGCCCCCTGCTCCCTTTCCACCCTTCACACTCAGCGGGTGCCACCTCCCCTAGGAAGCCTGCCCCTACTGCAGGCCGACCTGAGCCACTACCTTCAGACCCTGGGCAAGATGATGGGGACCCTGGCTGTGGTCGCAGCATCAGCACCTGTGGCTGAGTGCCCCCAGGCCTGGCTGAGTGGTGGTGGGGGCTGCCCCTGGGCCCCCCTAATAACCTGAAGCAGGGGCCAAGACCCAAGGCTTTAATGTGGGGGTCCCACCAGGCACAGACACCCTCTCCAGGTGCAAATACATGAGAGCTGCGGCACCACAGGAGGTCGAGGTCGGGGAGGGGTGCGGTCTGGGGGCTCCTGGGTGCCGCCGCCTCCACAGGGGTGCTCACTCACTCTCTGAGTCAGAGTAGTCGGCCACCAGGGAGGAGCTGAGGCCGCCTGGCTGCCGCAGGTCCTGGGGGGCAGGGGAGGCTGTGTCCTGGGAGGGGCCTGGTGCAGACGGGGTCCTGTGCTGACCGCTCCCCTCCTGCCCACCAGGCCCGCTGGTCTGGGGGGTCTCGACGGTCTCCTGAGAGCAGTCTTGGGGGTGTGCAGGCCTGTCCTGGGTGGTCCCCTCTGGCACCCTTGGCCCCCCCAGTCCGGGGATCCCACCCGCATGCTGGGGGCGCCGCCGCACGATGCCCAGGGTGCCCACGGTGATAGGTGTGCCGGCGGGCGCAGGCCTGCGGCTCTGGGCCAGCTTCTTCAGGACGCTGCTGCCAGTGCCACTGCTGGTGCTGGTGCTGGTGCTGGTGCCGGTGCCAGGCGCCGCGGCCGGGGGGAACCAGGAGCGGCGGCTGATCTCCGTCCGCTTGAGTCTCTGTTTGTCCTCATAGGCTGCGGGAGGGCAAGTGAGGGCGCTGGAAGGAGGGCGGAGGGGGCCGGGGCCGCCCCTGCCCTGCCCCCCGCCCGACCCTGCGCCCCCAGCCACGCACAGTCCAGGGTGTGCAGCTTGAGCAGGGCGGCCAGCCTGCGGTCGGCCTCGGTCTCGGGCACCAGCGGGATGGCCAGGCTGGCCTTGGCCTGCAGCGCCTGGTCCCTCTCCTCCGCCTCCTGCAGGGCTCGTTTCTTTTCCTGTGGAGAGGGAGTGTCAGAGCCGTGCCTCCACCCGTGCACTGCCTCAGCATCATCGTTACCGCGTGTATCGTTCGGTCCCTCACTCCCTCGTCCCACAGACGTCTAGAGCGCCCGTCGTGTCAGGCCTGTTGTAGATGTGGGGTGTGGCAGAGTGCAGCCCGAACCCGGGCCCTGGTGCTGACATTCTAGTGGACGAGAGACCAAGTGGGAGGAGAGAGAATGTGGAGAGGGTGTGGACGGTGGGCTGGGGTTCACCTTTAAACGTGGTGCAGGGGAGGGGGGAGGGCCAGGAACTGCCTCCCTGAGATTATGTCTGAGGGAGGGAGCCATGTGGGTATCTAGAAGAAAAGTGTTCCAAGGTGAAGGAACAGCCTGTGCAAACGCCCTGAGGCAGAAGCATGCTTGGAGCAGTTGAGGAACAGTGAGGAGGCCAGTGTGGCTGGAGCAGAAAGAGCACCGGGAAAGGGCACATCATTCAGGCTTGGTGGCATGCAGGGAAGACTTTGGCTGCTTGTGTAAGTAAGTGGAAGCCAGGAAGCGTTCTGAGCAGAGGAGGGACGTGCACTGACTCAGGTGCTCCCAGGCACCTGCTGGCTGCTGTGGGGTCACAGACTGGGGGGGGTGGGCGGGCGAGGGCTGGAGCCTGGAGACCAGAGAGGAGGGACCGTGCAGGTGCAGGTGGAGATGACGGGGCCGTAGAAGCAGCCAGGTTCTGGATCTCATTTGAGGCAACCCTGACAGCAGACAGGGAGGTGTGTCCAGGCTGACTGCTTGGGGCCTGAGTCTCTGGAAGGACGAGCCACCGAGTGAAGGGCAGGGAGCAGGCGGGGCAATGGGAAGCAACGAGGTGGAGAGGGGAGGGTGGTGGGATGTCCTCTCTGAGGGTCCTTAGACCTGCCACCAGGAGGCACCAGAGGGGCGGGGATGCAGCCCGGGCTTGGCCTGGCTGCAGGGGCGCCTTCAGCAGCGAACGCTGAACAGCTGAACAGGAACATGAGCAGTCGACTCCCAGTAACGACGGGCATAGGAGGCCGGGAGGCCGCCAGGAGGGAGACGGGAGCCGGCAGCCTGTGGGGCTCGGAGAGGGAGGCAGAGGAACAGCTTTGCCGGACCCACAGGACTTTCTGGGCACAGGCCGAAACCCGTGGCTGTGATGGTCATGTGACCCCGGGGCCTGGTGCCCTGGAACTCGGCCCCACGAAGTGGAGCCACTGTGGCCCGTGGCAGCCATGCTGCAGGGCCCTCGAGCCGGGCCTGTGCCCCGAGGGCGGGCGTTGGCCCCTGCGCTGTGACTCCACGCCACCCTGAAACACGCCACACTAGAACGGGCCTGCCGCTCTGTTAGGAGCGAACCCCCTTCTCCCACCCTCACGAGGCCGCGGGCACAGCTTGGAACTGCTGCGCGGGCGGGCTGACTGGGCGGCTTGGTCCGGGGACAGCAGAACACGCTCACGAACGGGTGTGAGGAGCTGGCCTCCACTCTGCAAACCGGCTGACAGCAGGGCCGTTCTTCCCAGGGGCAGGAGCCACGTGACGGATGGGGAGACCGAGGCTCAGAGGGCAAAATGCCTGCCTGTGCCAGGACGCGGGGATGAGGGTCGTGCCTGGGCGGGGCGCGCTCACCCGGAACCGCCGGCGCAGCAGGCTGTTGAGGGCAAAGTCGTCCTTCCAGGCACTCTGTGCCTCCTGGAGGTGGCTCAGTGTGGGGACGGCCTTGTGGAGCGTGCCGCGGTCGGCCTCGCCGTGCTCCAGTCGGAACATGGCATCCGTCTCCAGCTTCTGCTTCTTCTCATGCTCTGTGGCGGAGGGAGAGCGCGCTGGGCCCTGGGCCACCGGGGGCGCAGGCCAGCCGGCCTCAGGCTCCCCTGGCAGCACGCTCACCTGTCGTCAGCACCTGCTCGTTCTCTGCCATGTCCCAGCGCTCCTCCTTGCGCTGGGCGCCGCTCACGATCACGTAGTCGCAGTTGGCGGGGTCTGTCTGCATCTCGATGTAGTTGACACACAGGTGGCATTTCATCCGGAACCTGGGCGGGCGGTGGGTGGCAGTCAGGACACCGCGGCCGCGCCCCAGGCCACCCGGGGACCCCTGCCTGCCTCTTCTGTCCATGCTCGTCAGTCACAACTGTCTGCTGACCACCCCTGTATCTGGGGTACAGCTGCGCGCGGGAAAGATGCACCCCGTCACCCCAGAACTGACCTCCCATCTGGAGTTTGTTCCTTCGTCATTCATTCATGCATTCATTCAACAAACTCTCTGGGCTGGGCTGCTCTGTGGCGGCTCTGCGCCAGCCGTTGGGGACAAGCACTGCCGTCAGCCCTTGGGCGGGGGGCTGATGTGCCCATGGGGGCTGCGTCGGAGCAAATGCACAAGCAGCCAGTGTCGGCCGCTTTGGAAAAGGCCTCTCAGCGTGGGAGGGTGTGCGAGCAGAAACCCGAGGGGAGGGAGGGGCCTTGCAGACGTCGGTAAGAGAGTGTTCCAGAGGAGGGACCCCTGGGGTGTGAGGGATGAGAGCCTGGAGGCCTGTGGCTGGAGCAGAGGCAGAAAAGGAGAGTGGGAGGAGGTGGGGCAGGGAGGGGGCAGGGCAGAGCTGTGGGAGGACTCAGACTGTTACTTGGAGCAAAGTGGGAGCCATGGAGGGTTCTAGGCAGGAGAATGTGCCTGACAGACCAGGATGGTTTCCAGGAAAGGTCTGCAGGGAACGGCCATCAGGAAGAGGGTGTGCACTTCTCTCCCGCTCAGACTCCTCTGCAGCCCCCCGAGGCCACCCCGCGTCCCTCTTGATGCCCCCAGGCTGCCCCTACCTGTAGATGGGGGTCGTGTAGTAGTTGCCGACCTTCTTCTTTTCTGCGTTGTAGCGAACACCTGGGAGGAGGAGGAGAGTGCAGAGGCTGGGGTTCAGGCCACCCGGGGTGGGGGCAGACAGGTGGCACTGCCCCCTACAGGGGAGGCACCTCAGGAGGGCATTGAAGTCCAAGGTGGGAAGGGCCGTGTCCAGGCTGCGTGACAGGGGCTCAAGCCACAGGGGAGGGCGGGTGGGAGCCAGAGGGCCCAGGTGCCAATCCTGCCGCCACCCTGACCAGCCACTCGACCTCAGGCCAGCCGCCTTGCCCTGGGCCTCAGTTTCCCCACCTATCACCCAGGTGCTGACAGCACCTTTGCCCGGGCTGTGGCCGCTCCGCAAGCTCAGCGCCAGTACTTCCCTGGGGAACGTCTCGGCTTTTCCGTCTGACCTTGCTTATCGGACACAGGGGCTTAAACTAGGACAACAGCCCGGGCGGGTGGGCCGCCTGCTGGTGGCCCTGAGGATGCCCTGTGTGCAGTCAGGCCGAGCCGCCATTTGTCCCAAGGTGGCCTCCAGGGCAGACGCCCAGGCGGGGTCTGACAGGCACGTGGGGGCTCTGTCACCCTTCTCGACAGTGGGGACCGCGGCCATGAGGGGTTGGCCTGCCCACCAAGAGCTGCCAGCTCCATGTGCGGGCGAGCTGCTCCTGGGGCCAGGTGCCATGCCCGGAGCCCAGAGCCCAGAGCCCAGGTGACGGCGAAGATGCGGCCGCTGAGAGGGTGCGGTCACCCGCCCGAGGGCTCACGGCTGCCGAGCGCTGCCCCAGCCCAGGTGCTGGAAGCAGCAGCCCCCAAGTTCACAGGCCTGAGTGTGCCAGGCGCTAAGCACCAGATACACCAGAGGGGGCACTTGACCACCTGAATACCACAGACGGGTAAACCAAGGCACACGGCGGCTCAAGCGCCCAGAGGGTCCCCCAGCTAGGACGTGGCCAACGGGATCTGAACTGAGAGCCCGGCCCCCTAGCTTCTCGCAATGAGGCGCCCACAGCCCGCCAGTCGCTCGGGGGCTGGCCCCTCCCCGCATCCTGAGCGGGGCACCCCGGTCTCTCCCGCCGGGCAGTGAGGGACGTGACGGCGGGGTGGCTCACCCATGCCGATGTGGTTCTTGCAGCCGTCGCACCAGATGTTATAGGGCATCTCGAACCTGCACGACAGAAAACAGCTGGTGTGCAGGGTGCGGGGGCCTCTCCCGGGTCCCCACACCCCAGGCTCCGGTGCGGCCATGCTGCAGGGGCCCTGCAAGCGGGACGGTACAGAACGGGGGCAGGGCTGGCTGACCCCGCTGGGGAGTGTCCCTCGGGCCCCACCGCAGCACTGGCCAAACTCCCGAGCAGAGGAGGAGAGGCCGCAGAGCGTGGGGGTCCACCTCGAGAGTACTTGGGTCCTCCTGCCTCTAGGCTTGTGTCACGGTTCTAGCTGCGACACACGGTCCTGGCTTTCCAGGAACAGCGACAGGATTCTCTTACAGAGCCCTCGGGGAACGAACGAGGCGAGGTGCAGGCACTGCCCGACGAGGCAGGCTCGGCGCACAGAGTGGACGTGGTGGTGTGCGGCCCGGGTGGGCCAGCGCAGTGCACTTGGCAGCGTGGGGATGCGGCGGGGGTTTTGGTTTTTTGTTGGGTGAGGGAGATCGTCCCTGAGCTAACACCCGTGCCCGTTTTCCTCTATTTTGGTGCGGGACGCCACCACAGTGGGGCCTGATGAGTGGTGTAGATCTGCACCTGGGATCCGAATCTGCGAACCCCGGGGCCACTGAAGCACAGTGCACGACTCAACCACCACAGCGCCGGGCCAGCCCCGTGGCGGGGTCTTGAAGGGTCCTCGAGCCCTGTGCCTCCTCAGGCCCTGCTGACTCCTTTTCCACAGACATTCCCGCCTCTGGTGATGTTGTCACTAGACCCTCTGTGAGGCCTGGGGTGGAGCCTGAGGCTGAGGGCAGAGCCCGGAGCAGAGAAGGGGCAGCGAAGGGGACAGGGAAGGGGGCAGTGAAGGGCTCGCCTGGCTGGGGCTGGGGCTACACGCTGGCTCCTGCTTCCTGCCACGGACGAGCCACGGAGCGCGGGCCAGAAACAAGGGGAGCCTGCGGGGAGGGCCCCTGTCCTGGCTCGATGGTGGTCACCAATGGCTGCTGCTCTCCCCGCTCCCCAGCCCCACGCCCCTGCGTGCGACTCTGCACACCTCCTGTCAGCAGGCGGGCTGCACAGCCCAGCCCTGCACCATGACCAGCCCTGAGCACCGGGGAGCAGAGGGGCCGGTGCGCGTGCTAGTCCCAGCCTCCGAGGCCTGGCATGGCGCTGCTCGCTTTCTCCTGGGCCCTGACGCCGTTCCGTGAACGAGCCCAGGCTGGCTGGCGGAGGAGGAGAGACGCGGAGCAGGGCCCAGTCTCTAGGCCAAGGTCACGCTGGACCAGCCAGTCCCAGCCAGCTGACCCCAGACACGTGAGAGGCCCGGCAGAGCCGCAGACTCGGGAGCAGTGATACATGCTATCGTTTTGTTATGCGGCAACGGCCGACCGCTACAGGGCTTCTGCAGCACAGAACCAAGCCCCTGCAGCAGTGGGCGGACGGGGCAGGGCCTCCTCCTGGAGACGGACGCCGGGCATGGGGGGCAGCAGTCCTGGGCTGATGGGGCCATACCTGATGATGAGGATGCCCTGGGACAGCTTCCGCGCCCGCTCCCGAAGCGGGTGGCTGTTGTGGTACCGGTTGAGAGAGCCATGCTATGCGGAAAGGAGGAGGGGGCGGGTTAGCACAGCCGAGCTGGGGGAGCGTGGGCTCGCTCTCTCAGGCCGCAAGGGGCCCCCTCCTGCTGTCCTGCAGGGAGGCGACAGCTGAGGCCTTGCCGAAGACATGGGGCTGGAATCAGGAATACGTGAGTCTGAACCTCCCCTCCCATTTAGGGGCTGAGAGCGGCGGGACCCTGGGCAGTGACCTCACCTTCTGCCTTCCTGAGCCTCGGTTCCCCCATGTGTCACTGGGGACAAGGACCGTGACCACATCCCAGTGTTGTGGGAGGATTACGTGAGATGACAACACGGGCTAACGTTTACTGGGCGCTCTATAGGCGTCATCTCATGTTAACCCCCCAACGAGTCTGTGACGTCATGTCATTTTACTTCCTGCTTCCAACATACGGGGAAACTGAGCCTAGAGACGCCTAGATGGCAGATGGGCAATACGCAAATAAATGGACGATACGACAGGGGGTTCTAAGGGCTACGAAGAGCAATAAAGCACTAGTCGATGCAACAGAGAAGGAGACGGTGGTCAGGGAGGCCTTCTGTGGGGAGAGACCTAAAGGAAGGGAAGGAGCCTGTGGTCTAAGGAGGAAGAGATTCCAGGCAGAGGGGACAAGGAGGCGGCCAGAGGAGCTGCACGCGGCGGGCGAGGAGTCTGACGCAGAGCCTGCGTGCCACACCCCACCCTGAGCTCTGCTGACACACGCTACGCTGGGCTCAGAGCACAAGGTCACTGCTGAGAGCCGCGTCTACCGCCAGCCAAGAGGACGCCCCGGGACGCGAGTGACAATCACCAGGCAGGGAGACCTGGGGGCGCCCACGCTTCTGCAGCGAGCCTGCGAGCCCGGGAGGGGATCCTCGCGGTGCGGCCGGGCCTTACCTTCTCAGGGTTGAAGTCTGGAGGGTAGTACTTGTTGACGCCCTTCCTCTCGCCCTGGGGAGCAGGAGAGACACGTGACTCAGGGGAGACCTGCTCGGGAGGCCTGAGGGCCTGACGGGACCTGGCGGCGGCGCGGGGCACGGCCCCGGCTCCATGTCTGACCGGGGACTACACACTCGGGAGAAAAACCCCTGGTCATCGCCGTGGAAAATTCCACGAGGGCCAGACTCTCCTGGAGCAGTGGCTTTCAGTCTTGGGGACCGTGACTCACAGTGAGACACTGCTAACCTTGCACCCACACAGAGAGACATGTAGCACGGCCGAGGCGCAGGTGGAATGAGAGGCTCCCTGGCTGCGAGGGGCTCTCCAGACACGGGCAGAACTGCCGCAGCAGCCCCCCAAGCGGCCGCATGGCACACAGCCCGACGCCTGGCCACCCCACCAGCTCTTCTGACCAACTGCCTGCTCTGGGCTGTGGGCCTAGACGCTTGGCTTTTTTATTTTATTTGTTTATTTTTTTTTGAGGCAGATTGGCCCTGAGCTAACTACTGCCAATCCTCTTTTTGCTGAGAAAAACTGGCCCTGAGCTAACATCCATGCCCATCTTCCTCTACTGTATATGTGGGATGCCTACCACAGCATGGCTTGCCAAGCAGTGCCATGTCTGCGCCCGGGATCTGAACTGGCGAACCCCAGGCTGCCAAAGCGGAATGTGCAAACTTAACCACTGCGCCACCGGGCTGGCCCCTGGATGCTGGGCTTTTAAACAGCAATGTAGGAGCCGGCCCTGAGGCATAGTGGTTAAGTCCAGCGCCCTCCGCTCTAGCGGCCCGGCTTTGTTTCCCGGTGGTGGAACCGCACTGCCTGTCTGTCAGTGGCCACGCTGAGGTGGCGGCTCACACAGAAGAACCAGAAGGACCTACAACCAGGATACATAACCATGCACTGAGGCTTTGGGGAGGAAAAAAAAGCCATGTGGAAAACACGTGTTTAAACAAATCCTTGTACACGTGCATTCACAGCAGCATCACTCACACAATTGCCAAGGGGTGGAAACACCCAAATGCCCACTGACAGATGCACCAATGAACACAACGTGGACCATCCCTACAGTGTAATACTACTCAGCCATGAAAAGGAAGGGTGCCCTGATTCACGCCACACTGTGGACGAACCGTGAAAACAACACGTTCAGTGAAAGGACCAGGCACAATGAGCCACGTGGCGTGTGATTCCACTGATAGGAAACGTCCAGAACAGGCAAGTCCAGAGAGACACATGCAGACTGGTGGGTGCCGGGGGTGGGGGAGGGGACGGGGAGGGACTGTAGGTGGCGACAGGGTCTCGTTTTGGGGTGATGGGAATGTTTTGGAACTAGACAGAGGTGGTTGGCACGTAATCTTGTGAATGTACTCAATGCCACTGAATCATACACTTTAAAATGACCAATTTTGTTGTGTGACTTTCACCTCATTAACAGGAAAATCAAAAAAAAGAAATGAGCTCTCTGGGTGATTTTAATGCACAGCAAAGTCTGAGAACCACTGGACCAAAAGATCAAGAGCAGTGAAAGCCTGGGGAGGGGAGGTGACCCTGGGGGGAGGGCAGGGCCCCTACGGGGGTCTGATAGAGACCAGAAGAGAAGCAGCCCAGTGAGCACATGCCCGGCTACTCACCATCCTGGCAGCTGCCTACTGGTCCTCACCCTCAACACGGCCAATCTGAAAAGATGAGCAGACAGCGATTGTGTGGCCTTGACCCGCCACCAGTCCTGTCCTCCTGGGGAGCCTGGCGGGGGGCCCGCGGCCTCCTGTGAAGATGCAGTGGGCTGTGTGCAGTGGCGGCGGCTCAGCCGACCCCTCCAGGTGCAGGAGACCTCGGAAGAGCAGCGTTTCTGCTTAGAAAAAGAGTCCTGTGCGCTCTCCGTCCGACACACATTCACAGCCGCCCTTCTCCCCGTCCAGAGCCCCATCACCGCTCGCCTGGAGCAGCGCAGTCACCTCCTGCCGAGTCTCCTGGCTCCGCCCTTGAGCCCCACAGTCTGTTCTCCTCACAGGGGCCAGAAGGATCTTAGAATATCCACCTGAACTATGGCTCTCCTGCTTAAACCCCTCCAGTTGTTCCCATCGCCTTGAGAATGAAGTCAACCCCCTGCCCATGGGCTATAGGGCCCCTGCCTGGCTCTCCCAGCCCACCTCTTACCCCTCCCCTCCTTGCTCACTCTGTTCCAGTCACCCTGGCTCCCCGGCTGCCTTTGAAGGCTCGGCAGCTACAGGCTGACGGCCTGAAAGCTCCTCCACCAGCTGTCCGCTCTTGGTCACAGGCCTCAGCTCAGACATCACGTTCATCAGAGGCCTTGTCTGACCCCCAACCTAAACGCCCGCCTTTCCTGGAGCTCCTGACACTTCGCCCTGTGTCTGGTCACCCATCTGCAGTCTGTCTCTGGGCCAGGCCGCACGTCGCTGCATCTCGAGCTGTGAGGTGAGCCTTGCCCCTGGGGGATGCTGGCTGCAGGAACCACCCAGACAACCGGCTGAGCTGCCACGAGAATCAGTGCAGGTGACACAGCCATCAAATGCAGGGGCTCCTTAAACTGGGGGTGGGAGGACCCCCTACCCCCCTGCATGTTTGGAGAAGAGACTTTTATGTCAAATGAAAGGAAGTTCTTCTTTACTCCAAAGAGAGGCACTATGAGGGACCGAAGCGTATTCTAGAATGGGGACTGGCACATTTTCTGTCAAGGGCCAGACAGTAAACATTTCTGTCTCCATCTCAGGAACTCAGTGCTGCCGCCATAGCTCGAAAGCAGCTGCAAACACTGTATAAACGCACGGGGGGCAGGGGGGGGCTGCAGTCCAATACAACTTTATTTAGGGACACTGAAATGTGCATTTCATGTGATTGTCACCAGTCACAAAATATTCTCCTTTTGAATTTTTCCCATTATTTAAGAAATTAAAACCATCATCAGCCGGCGGGCTGCACGAAACCAGACAGTGTGCAGGCTCCCTGGCGTCAAGAAGCTTGGTCTCTGATCGTTCCTGCCACCTCAGTCGTGCACTCCCCAGGGTCCCCGCCTCCTGTACTCTGTGTCATGTCACCATTACCTCCAGGACGCCGACGCCGGGGCTCAAGGGACTGGCCCAGGGTCAGGGGCTGATGGGGAGGAGGAGCTGGGGTGCAAAGCCTGGATGCTAGCTGTTCTGCCAGCACCCGGACCTCCCTCCACCTCGGGTCCTCCATCTGCAAGGTCTGCCCCTTGGACCAGATTTCCCTCGGGCGGCTTCCAGCCTCAAAGCGCTTTTGCCCACAAAATGGCTAAGCGCCCACCCAGGTCTGGGGGCAGCTCCCCGGGCTTGGGCCCTCCCTGGCTGGGTGACCTGGGGCCAGTGTCTGAGCTTCTCTGAGCTACCTCCTCGCCTGGAAAGAGCGGATGGGGCGACAGGACCGCCTTTCCGGGGGTGCCTGCACAGAGCGAGTGCTCCGACCTCAGCAGCGGGGGTCTCCGGGGGTCCTCCCGCCCCAGGGAACCGCGCCGCCGCCCGCCGCTCCCCCGGCGTCGCCGCGCAGCCGCGCCAGCCAGGACCCACGGGCCCTCGGGCAGGACCGGGGCCCGGAGATCGGGGCGGAGCCGGCTGGGACCTGTGCCCGCGTCCGCAGAGCCCCGCCGCCCCACCGCCCGCACCTACCTGCCCTCCTCCTGACGTCACGCCGCGCCTCTGCCCGGAAGTGCTGCCGGGCGCGCCAGGGGGCGTGGCGCACTTCTCGCGCGACCAGGACGCCTGCGCGAGGCGGGGCGAGGCGGCAGCGCCGCGCTGATTGGCAGAGCGCCGATCCCGCCGCACGCCCTCAGCCGCGGAGCGGACCAATCCGGACCTTCGCACGTCA